TGGAATTAATTGATTGTGGATTGATGACATGGCTCTAAGTAAGGAAATCTCTACCTTGAACTATGCATTATGACTTATGCTTTCCCAAAAAAAAAAAAAAAAAAAAAAAAAAAAAAAAAACTTAAATAAGGTAAACTAATTATGAATTATCTTGTACTTTAATGTTAGATTTCAAATATTCTTCTTTTCTTATTTTATATAATTGATTCCATATGAGACTAATGTTATAAAATGAAGGGAGTACTATATTTAACATTTGCAAGATGATATTCAAACACTACTGCTATCACTAACCACTACGGCCCTGTTCACTTCACCTTAAAAAAATAATATTAAGTAAAAATAATTTCAGTTCAGTAAAAATAAGTTCAGTTAAAATAATTTCAGTTCAGTAAAAATAATTTCAATTCAGTAAAAATAATTTCAGCAAAATTAATTTAAGTTCATGTACTTTGATGCTTTTTTTTTACTAGGCTTTTTTATGTAAATTATTTTTTCCATATATTGCAAAATATTGTCGTACAAGATTTTTTTAATACTTCACATATATTTTTTGTATGCATCACTTTTGTCTATACTTTTATCACATATTGTATAGTTATAAAATATAATATCTTTTTTTTTTGTCAAGTATAAAATATTATGTCTTATTGATAATATTGTAGTCGGTGATATTTGGTAAATACAAGTACTATATTTTAAAAAAGGGTAACAAAATTCATCGTAATAGCATACCTAATCAATTACAATAAATTCAATAAGATATTGAAATATGATATTCATATATGATTATATATGCATGATCTATACAATACTACCAATATGTCGTTATATTTTTTTTTGCTTAAATATCACATGCCTTGATATGATCAATCAATCTACCAATATTTGCTATAATTATTTGTAAATTACATGTAGTTAACCAACATATACGTAGTAAAAAATTGACCGACAATTCAAATCAAAAATTTAATTAACAATATTTTTTTCATGCATGTCATAAATTGTGCTAAAGTCTTTGGGTTTGAGATCGTTAACTCCAACTCGCTGCTTTAGAAATTATTTTAACGATCAACTATATATTTTAATAGTCTCATATAATCATATATATATATATATATATATATATATACATATATATACATATATACATATATATACTAATAGTGTCAGTGTGTTTGACTTTTATTAAATAAATTGTAGAATGTTTAATTTTATGTTCAACAAATGTAATTAATTATTAAACAAAAATATAAATTTTTATATATATATACTAATAGTGTCAGTGTGTTTGACTTTTATTAAATAAATTGTAGAATGTTTAATTTTATGTTCAACAAATGTAATTAATTATTAAACAAAAATATAAATTTTTGTTTAAAAAGGATTGTTTAAGATATTTATTTTATTTTGAAAGTAAATTCCTAAATTGAGTACATATATATGGTTAGCACGCATATTGTGTGTAAGATTTAACAATATTGAATAATAAACTTAAATAGTCATATGCAATAAGAAGCAATCCTTGTAATAATTTATGATTATAATAAAGTTATGATTTTATTCTTATTATTATTAGTTTTATTGTTTTGGTATGTTTGGCGGTAAAGTTAGGCAACGAAAGGCAATATCCCTAAACCTAATATCATATACAAGTATATCAAATACATATTCCCAAAATATATAGGCCAACCATTTTTATATACGATATTATGTAAATTTATATGGTTGGCATAATATATTATCGTTATATATGCCAACTATATAAATTACAAAAATAGATTATTTTACCTAATATATATATATATATAAATATTAAATCAGTAAAAATAATATCTAAATCAGTAAAAATAAGTTCAGTTCAGTAAAAATAATTTCAGTTCGGTAAAATAAGTTCAGTTCAGTAAAAATAATTTCAGTTCGGTAAAATAAGTTCAGTTCATTAAAAATAATTTCAGTATAAATAAGTTCAGTAAAATTCAGTTTTAATCAGTAAAATTCAGTTTTAATCAGTAAAAATAATTTCAATTCAGTAAAAATAATTTCAGTTCAGCAAAATTAAGGTGAAGTGAACGGGGCCTACCTAAACCAATATCTCATTATCTTGTCAATAAAATTTCCAAACAGTGCCGCTAACAGTTTCATAAAACACTAACAACTGAACAACCACTGCTAACGCTATAATTGCCAAACACTTGTAAATTTAAAATGGTACGCCCTAATTAAATGCAGTATGAGCTAGCAACGGACAAAAAGATCAAGTCGTTTAAGGATACTAATCGTAAGATTAATTAAAAGAAATGATCAATATATAGGAATGTGCAAAAAAGACTAATTAATAATATCATCCCAAAATTGACATATCTGTCTCTATTTATTTGAACACTTGTAATTAAAATGGCACACCCTATCCTACTATGACCTCTCAACCGATCGAGGAGAAGATCGTTTATTTACCAAATAACGAGTATAAATTGTAACACCTACAAAAAAAATAAAATAAAACACGAGTTTAACGTGCTCCCTCACTAATGAATTATATCATTATATGACCCCAATCAACACTGGCATAATTGTCTATATTTAACCAAACATTTGATTAAATGCATACTATTATTATATGGTTGTAATCTTCCTTAACCCCACTCCACATGTGCTGCACGCTGCTTCCCTTTGAAGTTCCTAACTTCTCTTATCCCTTCAATAATTGAATTAGTTAGGGACTAATTAATGCAAAGTGGACTTCACCATCATCTTTAGCTACCCTAAACTTACCTTCACAAGTATAGCTATTCCGTAACTTACATGATACGAATCTGAGTATTATTATGTATGATTGTGTGTGTATTCAAAGTTTTACATTGACAAACATAAAGAGTGAAGGGTTAAAATTATAAAAGAGTAGGGGAGAAAAAAAAAAAAAAAAAAAAAAAATTCTCCTCTGAGAGAAATACATATCTCATGCAAGACAATATTGAAAATAGATTACAATTATAGCAAATTATACTATAATGTCCAAAAATTAAATGGCTGATTAGCATTCCAATTAGTTGTCCAATTGGCTTCTTGGTAGATATGTCGAAGAGTCCGATTATATTGAAATGTAACTTAGTGGTTGTTTGTCTAAGTACTCGTATAAGAAGTACAATATTATTTTCATTATATACCCAACCAAAAAAAAATAATAAAAAAAAAATAGAAGTACATGTCTATCTATTGTCATGACGTATATATATTTCTCCGTTTACATTTGTACATAATTTATTGAGAAACATACAAAACTATGTAATCATTCTAACTAGGAAAATAATTAGAGCATATATTCATTATATGGACCACCAAATATTATGAGTTCATGACTGCTCACCTAACTAACTGCCTTGCATTTTGAATACTTGTACGTATTAATTAAAACTAAAGAATTAATACTTGCATAATTCTATTAGTGTCTCATTCTAGCTGTCGTGTTTCCTCCTTGTTTAAGACAAATGATTCCAAGGTCAATGAGAATATAATATATTTTAAGCTTAACAAAAGCATGCGTAACATTAATTCATTATTGAAAGATTCAAAGATAAAACTAGAAAACGATAGAGATACAACATTACAACTTCACAAGTTCATTGTGGATCAACTAACGAAGCTAAAACTATTCAGAAATAATAATAGTCATATTATATATATATTACCAGTATGTTGTAACATGTTGTAATTTTTTGTACTAGGTTGTGTCGTAATTTTAGAAATCGGATTTGGAATTGGTTCCAAATTTATGAACCGATCTCAATCAATTTCAAGCCCGAATCCTAAAATTTTGACTAGGCACCCGATTTGCTCACCCTTAGTCAAAGATAGGACTCGATCGTACAATCTACTCGATTCACCCAAAAATAAAATATTGACAACATATTAGGAACTACTTTGTAATACTTTTTTTTCCCTAATTGATACTCCATAGACCGGAGTTAGACATGTCAATTCACGACTAGACCCGATAGCCCGACTCGACCCGTATCCAAGTTAATAAGAGAGAACAGGAACTCGACCCAACGACCCGAATTCGACCGAATTTGACCCATTTATCATATTTTGTACAGTACTCCCTCTTTATCTATCTGTTTGCCCCATTTTCTAAATATAGGTGTTTCATAAAAATTACCCCATTCCTTAAATGTCTATGGGGGCCACCTATCACTTTTACTCACACAAAAATACTTTGTGCCCCACTGCTTTTCTTTCTCATCAATTCATTCAACAAAAACTTAATACTGTAGAATATGGGCATAGGACAAACAATTAGAGACAGAGGGAGTAATGACTCAAACAATCTAAAAAACTCCAAACAATCTAAACAACTCCAACCAAATGACCTGAAATTTAACCCGAATTCGACCCGTTGACCCAAATTGACAGGTCATCCGGATTCAATCGCATTTCATATTACCATTACTCAGTACCAAGGCTTGTTCACGGATCGGATATCCGATCCGAAATTACATTTTGGATCGGATATCCAAATACTCGGATATAAGAAACTGATATCCAAACCCGATCCGAAAAATAGTAGTCTTTTTGCAATAAAAATTATCATCAAATATATTAAGAACATTATAATAAGTTAAGAATATAGGGTCAGTTTTATATGAACAATTTAATTTTTTTTTATATATTTCACTATTTCAACCTTTATATTCCGGATATCGAATATCCTCCTAAAAATTTGAAAGTCAATATCTAAATCCGCATTCAATATCCGCTTTTTCGGATCGGATATCCAATTCAAAATGAAAACTCGGATCGGATATCCAAGAATTTGAATAAGTTGCAGATCGGATAATTAAATTTTCGGATTTTCGGATTTTCGGATAGTTTTGTAAAGGCCTAACTACCAACAAAGTGGGAACCATTACACTAAAGAATTAATTATCTATCTGTAATGAAAGTACGAAAAGGATAGCCTGTGAAATGTGAATTTGTGATCTTATAACCGAAGGTAAAACCATTTAAAAAATTAAAACGTGCCATCTCTGTTACAACAACACGAACATTATTACAATCTTACATTACCCAAAATCCAAAAAAAACCACTTCTCCTCTAACTTCTTCTGAGAGGAAAAACTCATCAAAAATGGCTACTCTGATAGTCCCAGAAATTGTTCCTTCTCCAATTCAGGATTCTGAGACTCTCAAAAAAGCTTTTCAAGGTCATCTCCTTCTCTTTCTCTCTCCTTTGACTCTCATTATTCATTGAATTTCCTACAATTTTTTTTTTTCTGAAAAATTGATGAAATGGGTGATTGAAAGTGCAGGTTGGGGAACAGATAAGAAAGCAGTAATAAGAGTATTGGGTCAGAGAAATGCAGGTCAAAGGAAGAAGATTACTCAAGCTTATCAACAGCTTTACAATGAATCTATCTTTGATAGTCTTCGTTCTGAAATTTCCGGTGACTTTCTGGTATATTTTTTCCTTTAAATTTTATCTCTTTAATTTCTTTTATTTAATTATTATGGTTGTATGTTAAATTATGGTTTTTTAAGGGCCCTTTAGTAATTTAAGCAAATATGAACGGTCAAAATCTAAAAACTTTGACAGTAAATTTTCATAAATACTTCCTCCATTAAATGATGAAATGCCTCTCAATTATGTTTGTCAATGCATATTTAAACGTTAATTAGATTTTGGGTCCCAATACTCCCAAAGGAGGGTTATTATGTGAACAAGTTTTATTCATATACTTCTAAAATCCATTTTCCTTTGTTATATTGGAGGAAGCTCAGGTTAATCTCTAATTTTTATAACATGTGTAAATAAATCAACAACTTCATCAAGTCACCGTTACTATGGGCCCATTTTTAAGATAAAAGTTCTTGATTTACTTATAAAAATGTCATGTGATAAACAAAAGTTGTTAATCTCAGAGATCAACTTATATTTACCCGCTATATCTAGGGGTGAACAAAAATTCCGGGTAATAAATTAATTAAGGAACCGGTTGCAACCGGTTCCAATTCTAATTCTCAATTTTTGGACCCAGAACCGGTTGAATAAATTAATTAAGGAACCGGTTACCCAACATATGTTACACTAATTGAGTTTTTAACCATAAAATTATGTTGAATGTATCTAGTTAGTAAAATAAAAAAAATTATTGTTAATACCTAAAATAATTAAAATAGCTTAATGCATATATAAATACAAGTGTTAAACGCTAAAAATGAAAATAGATTAAAATAAGTATTATAATTTATATTATCTTTTAACAATTATATATACATAAGTGGTTCCAATTCCAAGTCCTAAATTTTAGGACCCAGTTGAATCAATTCCAATTCCGGTTCCGAACTTTAGGACCCGGTTCCAACCAATTCCGGATCCGGGTCCTAAAATTTTGACTGGGTACCCGGTTTGCTCACCCCTAGTTATATTGTACCTTTATTAATTGTTTTGATAAACGATAACATGTATTGTGACAAACCTCAATGGTTCAGTTTACAAAATCCAATGAAAATGGAGAGGATGATGTGATACACGAACTTGTTTAGCAATGCTAATAAGATCCCACTTGATTAATTTTTGAAGAAAAGTTTGCCAATTTTCAAAATTTGACCACAACTCTCCAAATCTTTAATTCTCAAATTAAAACAGATGCATTCTAGTAGAGTATGTAATTAATGTGAATTATATGGAAATCAAAGTGTTATAACATAATTAGTCACATAGTGGGATACTTTGATTTCATTGGATTCATCTTAATGTGTATTGCATCTGTTCCACAACTATTGTAATGAGTTTTATGCTTCCAAGTTATAACGCAGAACTTTAACCCCCTCTGTCCCTATTTTTTTTTTGCCTCATTTGACTTTACACGATCTTCAAAGCGCGTTTTAAAACGTATATAACTCCAATTTTATACGAGATTCTATTGTTGAAATGAGAATGAAGTTATCAACAATTCTACTTCAATTAGGCAGCTTAATTTTTTTAACCTTATTCAATTTATTTCATTAGTGTTATCAGTTAGGTGATTTCTTATGGTGTTAAGGCTGAAATTTTGGATTTTTATGACATTTGGGTGTATAATCAATGAATTTGGGCAAACGAGAGATTTTCCATTTGCAAAATTTAATATGGGGCATTATCATGTTTCCTAGTGAGAAGGAAAGTAAAAAATGATTGGAACTTCCAATGACTGTACTGTAAATGGGATATTTAGTTAGTAGTTTAGCTATAAAATAACTGCATTGTGTTGATGTGTGACCATATGCAGAACTTTTTAAGATAGACTGTTTTACTCTGAAAGACTTAAAGCTTATGCATGAGGCTTTTAGTGTTTACCTTGATTGCTACAATTTGTGTTGGAATAAAATTTCTTCAAAGTTTCCTTCTGGGTGCTCACTTTTTTGAGTTTTTTCCACACAGTTTATCAAATAACATCTTTGCTATTTACAGAATGCAATACTTCTATGGACATATGATCCTCCGGAAAGAGATGCGAGACTGATTAATGATGCTTTAAAGGCGAGGAAGAAAGGGGTGAAACATTTGCAAGTCATAGTTGAGGTAGCATGTGCTTCTTCCCCTCATCATCTGATGGCTGTCAGGCAGGCTTACTGTTCCTTATTTGATTGCTCTGTTGAAGAAGATATCGCATCAAATATACAACTTCCATTGAGAAAGGTAATTTGAATAACTAAGGGGGCTAAGTCACTAGCTTTAAGTGTCGTTGAAACACATCATAATGCCAATGTTATGTACTTACATGAATTATAGAATTGTATGATGTATGCGATTATGTTCAATTTTAAGATCTGTTATACCAACTAAATGTGGGCTATATTCTGTGTCATTTTGTGGAGTAACAGTATTGTCTGTTCCCATTGTTATCCATAATTAGGAGTCACATTGTTCCAACCTCATTTTATAGGATATATTATGATTATGATTTTACACCCAAAAAAAAAAAAAAAATTCTATTCAATTCGTAGTTTTTGTGCTATGTGACTTATCTTTATCGTCTAACCATTATTTAATATATGTATTGGCATGTTATTAATTTAATCATTAACCATGACAGTGTAGCAACAATTTTTTCGGACATCATAAAACAGAATGTGTGACTAGATACCAAACAATGGGAGTAATTTTCGTTCTAATACTGTTTTTTGTAGTTAGCACCATTGTATCAGTTCTTAGCATGACGCTGGGATTGGAGTATTTTGGCTGACTAGTGTTACCTGTATTATGTAGTTTCTTGTGGCTTTAGTGAGCTCCTACAGATATGACAAGGAAGTGGTCGACATGAATGTTGCCAAACTTGAAGCTGCTCACCTTCATGAATCCATCAAAAAGAAGGAATTAGACCATAATCATGTTGTGTGGATTCTTGGAACTCGAAATTTCTTTCAGCTGAGAGCAACATTTGCTTGCTATAAGCAGGAGTATTCTAGTACCATTGACCAGGTCACCACTTTCTTACCTCTGTTTAAATGTACCCAAGATAATTGAATTTAACTATACAAAATTGTAACGAACCTTGAATCCATTGTCTTTGACAGGATATTTTGAAATGTGGGAACGATGATTTGCAAGCTTTACTCAGAATCACCATTTTGTGCATTGAAAGCCCTGAGAAGCACTTTGCTGAGGTGATTCGATACTCATAACTATGTTATTGTTAATATTTACTTTATGAATGATACAAATGCCATGAGAAACATCTGAACTCAATTGGGATAAAAAATATTTCCTCGATTTATTTCTGACTGAAAATCCAATTTCGAAATATCTCTTCTAGTTTAGTTTGGATAGTGACCTTGCAGACCCTGACAATGGCAGGATCCATATTGGTTTTTATCCATTTCATTTAAAACTTATTTGGAGTTTATATCCCAGGATTGCTTTTCATAGTACTGATATAAATTAACATATATTCCCCCGTTTTAGAAAATGAAATTCTTATTCCTCTTCAGAACTTTCAGTTTCTGTACGGTATTGCTACTTTCTTATCATCTAAAGCGTCCCAAAGTTAAGAAGCCATATTTTCTGTTCTTTCCTTTCCTCGAAACCCATTTCATATTTTATTTGCTTTCGACAGAATATATCATCCTTCAGTTCGATGGACTTTGCTATTTTCTCTCTGATTTTGGAATAGATAAACTTTAAACTGTTTAAGATGATCGGGAGTGAACTAGCGTTTTGTTCACTAGGATTTTTTAGTAATTTTTTTACTAGATATGTTTTGTTTAGTATAATCAGTGTCAGTTTTGAGCAAAAAATCCATACTAAATGGAGCAAATCAATTACAATTACGATGGGTTTCCCCTTGAGAATTGTCTTTTGTTGTCTATTCACTTTGATTGTAGGTTCTTCACTCGTCAGCTGAATGTGTAGGGTGTAATTGCTTTTCTCTTTTTTCGTTAGATTGCTCAACTCTCTGCAACATGTGTAAGGTGGACTTGCTTTCCTCTTTTCCCAAATTTATTGATATATCAATATTAATAGGACTAGAACTACTGCAGTACCGTGATTGTAAATTAGACTACTAACGTATCAATCCTACCTTCATGGAGCCTTATACAAAAATTAAGTGGTGACTAACAAGTACAACTTATATATTAAGTGGTGACTAATGTGAAATTACTATAACTTAGGGAAAACGATAGTCTAGTGGAAGACATTGTTTTTACTAGTTTTTGCCGAAATGATATGGACTATTTATAGAACCCCTCTAACATGTTTGTGAACCTCTGACAATTTTACTCAAATGAGGTTGAAAACTTCTCTGACGTGTACTTAAACCAATTTCACTTGACCTGAACTAACCCGACCGGCTTGGTTGAGAGGTTCACATTCTAATTGTTTTATGAAAGTTCAGGCTGTAAACCTATTGCTCAGTTCATCTCCTATTTATTTTAAAGTATTATGCTGTCATGCTGTGGTTCATTAGGTTTTGGTTTATGAAAGTTTATACTTTGATGGCTACTGGTTGCTGACCTGTGTGTCTACAGGTTATAAATTCATCAGTTGTTGGACTCGGTACAGATGAAGATTCACTTACTAGAGCGATAGTGACTCGAGCTGAAGTTGACATGGTAAAGATCAACGAAGAGTATTCCAGGGCGTACAAAGAAAGTGTTGTGGATGCAGTTATTGGTGACACATCAGGGGACTACAAGAACTTCTTGCTCACTTTGCTTGGCAATCAAATATAAGCACCCAAATTAGATAGTCCTATAACTCTATAAAGGCAATCTGGTCGATGATCTTGGCTTGTTTATCGCATTACTGTACTATATGTAGTGTTTATTAGCATTTGTGTGAATCAATACTGGTAATGGATTGAGTCATTGAATATTCATTTACCATGGAAGATGCTTTTGAGTTTTGCTCGGCGTTCTGTTGTTTAAGGGTGAATCTTTTTCAAATAATTTTGCTATTTCTTTTTATTGAGTTCTACGTGAAGCTGTGTAGAAATATTAAGGAAAAAAAAAAATTAAAAATGTATTCAAAATATTATCCCATAATTGACTATTACATCACCAATTAAGGCCAAGGTGCACACAACAGCTCAGCCTAAGTAGGCGCACACAACCCAAGCTTCAACCAAGGGTGCATGCAATGCTGCAATGACAAACAATGCTATAGATATATCAAAACCCGTGTTAGAAATTAGAATTATCAAGATTCAAGATCGAAATGATTTTTTCAAGATAAGGGTTACTTAAGTTTAAATTATAACTAAAATAAGTTTTGATAAGATTTACTAAGTTCAAATAAGTTTAGGTTAGTGAAATTAGGTGAATAGATTACACCCTTAGTCTTATTTAAGTAGCTAATTTTGATTGTGTCAATCTAATTGACGTACTACCTTTATGACAAAGCTAATGAATTAAGTGAAAAATGTTATTGTTAAAGAGGTATAATAACAGTTTGATAAAGAAAGTTTTAGGCAAGACTATCATTGTTGAAGGCAAAATCGAATTGGGGAGGGTAGGGTGTAAAGTTAGTAGAAAAGGAGGTAAAGGAGGAAAGGAGAGAAAAGAGTTGGGCAAGCCTTCCACTATTGCTCCAAAGGCTTTATGGTTCATCTTATTTTAACTTAATTCAGATAAAATTAATTTTGATGAAGAAAGATCACAGAATATGTTTTACTATAGTGGAACAAATTCTAATTCACTCACATAAAAAAGTTCTATTTAGTAAAATTAAGTTTAAAACCAAGCCATAGCAATTAGCAGCAACAACAAACAAAGACAACTAGTTCATTTCACGGTTAACGACAAATTCCATAAGATGAGCTCTTCAACAAATCCTCAAGAATTCAATGAAAATTCTGTAAAATTATATGCAACAAAACTTTGCTCAAAGGCTATTCACTTCATGTTTCTCAAATCAAGACAGAAGTGTACCTTATAATGAACTATCGAACTTTTTCATTACATGTCATACAGTATACTATCCACAGCTTTGTAAATGCTGGAGGCTAAATACTTGTCAGATGTGCTGATCGTTGTGATTGTTGGTCGGACTTTTAGTAAAGCATTACTAGGCTCATGCACATGTATATCAAAAGATTTACCTGATCCGTCAATTGCATCTTGTCCTACTGTTATTTTAAAACCCATATCTTGTAATGCAGTTGAAAGCCTTCCCAAATCAATGCAGGTCCCCTTGGATTCCTTCATTGTAAGTAACCGATACTTCCCATGTTCTACACTCAGCTCCCCTTTTAGTCTCGTAACGTTAATATCTTCCTCCTTCAAACTTATCCAGTGATATTGGGAGACTAAATCTGTTGGAATCTCAAGTTCTGCTCTTCTCTTTAAGCTGGGGACGCGTAGCATAATATTTTCAGTGTAGTATACCACTGAGATTGACTTTGCATTTACAAGAGCCTTCAAGTTTTCGGGTAACTATTTCAAGAATAAACAGAAAATTTTCAGAATTAATGGAAAGAAATATTGAGATTGAATCAAATAGTTAGAGGAAGAAGAGTTACCAACACATACTTCGGTTGCAATTTCTCTATCAAAGGTGCAACTTTACTTGATCTGAAACAACACAAAAGCCATAGGTGACAACAAGCATATGGAGACAAACTGCAGGCAGCAAAACTAGGCCAAGGGCAGTAAAACAGATGACAATTAACTATAGAGACTGGTAGCAATTCCATTTTTCTTTAGTTTTTTACGATAGCGCTTTCTCTTGAGGAATGCAAAGGTGGATTCTAACAGTTTACATCGACAACAATATTCAAAAAATAAGTAAGCATTATCAAGTAACATCTAAATGCCAAAAGGAAGGCACAAAGAAAAATCAATCCAAGCAACACTCACCTAGAAAATGAGTGCAACTAAAATATATTAAAAAAGCATAAGTAAGAGTGAAAATAGTTCACCTAATGCCAGAGAGGAATGAACATTGAAGGACCTTCATGGCCAAAGGTTTGAAAGGTAGGAGAGCTAGATCAGCATCTAATGCTTTCTGTACCAATCATACAATTCACTCTTGTATACAATAAAAGAGGAATTATAATAATCATGCATGACAAAGTGATATGAAGAAAATTACCTCCAAAACAAGCAATGAATTTTCATTCTCATGCCAACGCTGAAGAAAATGAACAACGGGCCCCAGCCGCAGGCTCCATTGAGGAGCAAATACTATGCATGGTTCCTGCCAAATTTTCCTGGAAACAAATGTCAGTCTTATGAACAGAACATGCCAACTACAAATGTCTCAAGGTTTGGTGCTTCATGGCAAAACTAGCAACATCTTATTAATATGGTAAAATCCAAGACAAGAAATGTAAACATGTTAGATACCACCTGCGTTTCTAAATGATAACTACTCTTACTGTAGCCACTAGCTTCGAGACCAAGTAGGGTAGAAGAACGAGTGTAAAAGAGGGGCATGTGTAAGAATGTGTAGGAGAGAGTGTTGAAGGTGGAGGATTTATTAGAAAAAGTATGTAAGAGAGTATTGTAGGTAGGGTTTGTGCTGAATTTGTTTTTGCCAAATAGTGAAAAAAGCAAAAGTGTAACCAACAAAAAGGAAAGGACAAAAGTAGAGAGCTTAAATAACAAAGAGGCATGGTGGTTGTACATGTCATTAAGCATAAAATGATAGCCTTAGTAGATGTCCACATATTTGTAATGCAACTCAAAATTGTATCTGATGCATAAAACAGGAATGAAAGTCTCGGTAAGTTGGTAGTTAGAAGTAGTTTGAATTCTTCAAATGCTTTTATCCTCTCTTTGTTGTGCCCCATCCCAACCCTTGATGCACAAATGTACTTTATGTGGTAGCAATACTAGCAAGTAGGCGGTTTACATTAATTATTAGAAATAGAATTTGTTGCCTTCTAAGTTCTATCCTAATGCAGAAATTACATAAAACATCACATTCAAGTTAGAAAAGATGCTGTCTTACAATAAATCAGTTGTGCAGATTGAAGATAGCAGATGAAGCCTTTTCTGCTTTATAAGATCAACATGAGCAAACAAGGGCTCACCAGCAAACAACTGCAATATTACAACAAGAGACCCCCAGGTAATCTTAACCTCAATAATAAAATCAGGCAATCAGCTTACTGACATACATACATTTAGAGCTAAGCTTTTAATGCACATACCTTATTTTGTCGCTGAACACACAGCCACTCTGGAATTATGGTGGTGTAGGATAAAAGTTCTTCTGCAACAGAAGAAATGAAAAATATGGGGACCTATAAAATCAATAACCTGATGGTCAGTTGTAAGGTCGAATTGTAAAGGAAATTTTCTAGACAACCCCCATCCCCACCCCCACCAAATAAATAAATAAAGGCTGCATTTCTTAAAGACACATAAGAACAAATTATAATATCAAGAAGTCAAACAAACCAAAACAGGACACGGAATTGTATCCCCTTCCATGCCATACCTAAATCTATCTCACGTCTCAACCATGGTTTTAAATAACCGATTAAAAAAATTTATCTGATTATACTCCTTGATTCATTTAATGTCAATCTTATATGACTGACATAGATGTTCACACATGATGCTTACACCTGTTCTTGAACCAATTAGACATTTTTTCCAATTATATCTAACAGCCCACACAGGAATGTTGACCTACCTTCAAATTTAATAATTCCACAGAAACTGAAATCTGCTCCAATAGTTGCAACACTACACCAATGCGACCAATAGGAATCAAGACTGAGCCTCCCGCTTTAAGAGAATCAATAGCATAAGAGCATATAAATTCTAGCTTCTGCTCCTCCTCTGAACTTCCATCAGGGTCGCTTAAGGACTGGATAGAGGCAACCTCTGCATTTTCATTGCTGCAATACAGTGATAGTACAAGCTTTCTAAGAGATCATGGCATTATATGACAGCAGAAAATCTAATCAAAGCATTTATGTATCTTATTTGTCTTTCTCCTGTAGCTGTTATCAAAGTCTTGACTCTTGATTAGACTACCAAAAGCTAGAAGTAAGATAGATTTAAACGCAGAGCAGAGGATTACATTGGAGATGAGTGATCAGTCTCTGCATCAACATCTTCCATATCATCGAGAGAAGAGAAATCTGAAAACAGTACTAGATCACAACCTTGTAGAGCATGGTAATCAAAACTCAAGGCTGGAGCAGAGTCAAGGATAGAACTAGTTATTAAAACAACATCCTTTTTTGGACTTTTAATCTCCCAATTTGATGTGCCAATATCGAGACCAGAGCTGAATGCCTTAATAATTAGCAAACCACTATAGCAAGTTTCTTCAGCAAATTTAAGTGATTGCACCTTCTGAATGCAATTCTTCACGTCAGCTGCACTAAGAAGAATTTTAATTTATAATCAAAGATATAAAGAATTCAGGAACAATGCGTGAAGAGTATAAGAATCAGAAACACCAAGGAAAGCTGATCTGAGATGAAATGAGGAGGATTACAGAGGCAATTTTATTTAACAAAATCTAAAAGTTAAAACTTTTAACACAAGGAAAGAGAATCCAGTACATAGTGACATCTAGAAAAAGGTCATCTTAATTAAGTTAGTGAGGACTTAAATCAAGTATTTCGCTTTCATGCATCTTACTTTTTTTGGTTGCATAACGATGTAACAATCATTGCCCAATTGCACCATTAATCAATTCATATCTCGCAAAGATCATTGCAACAACCCTGCAATTCCAACTATCATTACCAGCCAAGTATTTTACATGCTGCATTCAATTTATATTGTTGATGGTTAGAAGTGAGTTTTGGCTTATAAAAAAAATGTAAATAAACAAATTAAACATTTAAGTAGCATTAGAAAATAGCTCATCCAGCTTCTGTTATCTTCATACAGTTGAACTAGAAATGCCACCTTCCAAATTAAAAGCGTAAATAGTCAATGTACAATCAGTGTAAAAATTGTGCACTTTGATTGGGCTACGAGAGGTGAATTCAAACAGTTGAGCACGCACATGAGCGCGGGGGGTGTTGTGGGGGGGGGGGGGGTGGGATGAGGGGCAAATAAGCACACTAAGGCATACATCAGTGAGGCATGGACCTTGGGCCTGAGCTAGACTCTAGGATCCCTATCGCCTCAGCGCCCCTGCTCTTGACTTTGCATTAAATTAACAGGATTAATTCTGGATTTATAAAAGGGAGAGTACAAAAAGGGCATTGTTACAATGATTTACCTTGTAATTGTGTTAGTAACATAACCAAGGTATTATGTTTCATGAGAAAACAAAGCCAATACAACCACATAAGTAAAACGAGTGAGCAATATATTATTATTATTACATGTTAAAAGTCTCAATAAGTTAAATCATCAAAATAAGTCCTGAAACACCCAAACATCATCAATTATCATCATCCAAGAAAGTTAAAGCAGCATAACAGATCCCTAAGATAAGAACATAAAGGAGCTGCATAAGCATAATACTACCTGTACAATGGTAACCAGCCACCGAGCTCTGTCCCTTCTTTGCCCAAGATTATCTCTTGTATAGAAGGCGGAAACTTGGCAAGCTCCTCCCACTTCATCCACGTGGCACATCCAGAGTCCTCAGGTCCATAAAATTGCCTGAACTCTCTATGCATAGAAAGAAGATCCTCCATCATAAGCTGCCCAATTCTTGTCGTTGCTTCAGTAGCATAAATCTGATCATCGAAAACCACATCAACAAACTCACTAACATATCCACAGGGGACAAAACTAAAGAGAGAAGAAAATCAGATAACAGAAGTAACTTTTGTGTGGGAAATATTCACCTTAGCTACGAAATTCTTATTGCGTGTCAAGAATGGCAATCCAAGCATTCCCATAGGACTTGAGATTAAGACAGCATCAATAAAAGAAACATCCCACAGGTGCAAAGTACTAACAGTTTTGTACCAAGGGACCCCATAAATCAGACTACTAGCATCAAAGAAATTTTCAACTTTTTGCCTCTTATGAGCTGCACCATCAGCGTCCACAGACGCATGGCACGAGCAATCAAAAGCGTATTCAAGCTGTCTTTCAGAATAAACAGGTACAGGAGCAAATATCAACAGAGCTGAAAGATCCAATGGGCAATCTACCAAAATGCGGAATCCACTAATTTCAATTATGTGACATGGCGGGAAATAATAACCCTGTCCCTTGCTTAAACAAGTCTGCAAATTGACAAGAAAACATTAAGGATAATGAAGAATATAGGAAGGAAATGATCATATATCGATATATTCTATCTCCCGGATTCAGGTATCACATTATTAGCTCAAATTACACTATCGACGTGAGTACTAATCCCGAAAATAGAGGAAGTACATATAATAACTTGACGGGAAGTGAAACAAAAAGGGGAAGAACTTACAAGCTTCATGGAAACAAGAAAAAAGAGAACTTCCCCAAATGATCATATAAGCAAGGGTATCTGATGATCCTTTCCTCAATGACATTCACCCATTAAAACTGATTGCGGCATTTCATCGAACACCTTGTGAGCATGACGGGAAATAAACAGTTTTGCGAGGGTGTTTGTGATTTTGGTACTAAAATGTATGAATAAGAATGCAAGAAGAGAACAACGATAATAGTGACAAATTTGTGACAAGCTATTCTACTATATACGAAAGTTGTAAAGAAACAAAAGTTTCAGAAGCAGCGAGATGGCTGTGCGTAGAGCAAAAGAAACTGAGTGAAGAATAACAGCGTGAAATGACGGTGGCTGTTCGGTGGTCGGCATAGTTGCCGAGTTGGGAGCTGCGGTTGAGTAAGAGAGGTGATGGTGGCCGTGGCTGTGTGAGGGCAGAGAGAATGGAGAGAAAAACGAGGGAGTTCACTTGGTATTTGGTTTATCAAGTAACATAATCGTAAATAAGTCAATAAAATTGTCAGTTACCGGTCGCATTTATGAAAGGAAAATTTGTAAATTACCACCCACAAAATATGTCAATTTCGATATAACCACCCAAAAAAAAAAAAATTTAAAATACCACCCACTAATTTAAAAAAACACTCAGATGACCACCCATTTAGCAATTCCGGTGGAATTTCCATCAGTGGGCCCCACTTTTTTTATTTTTTTCCTTTTTTTTTCTGGCTTTCTCACTCTCTCCCCGATTTCACTCTTCTTCTTCCTACCTTCTTCCTTTCTTCTTCCCAACCACCACCCCTACCATTGCTCCCTCACCCCAATCTCCCCCATTTTCTCTCTTGCTTTGCTGCCCAGTTGCCCCTTGCCCCCATTTCTCTCTCTTTCCTGCTTTTGCTCCTCCTCATCCTCACATCTCCTGATTTGCTGTGAGCGGGCTGTGAAGTAGAGAAGCAGAGCTGGGTTGCGGTGGCGTGGTTGCTGCAGCGGTAATGGTGGTTGTGATGTGCGAAATGGTGGCGATGGTGATTCAGGTTGCTGTAATGTGACACCGCTGAAGATTCTGGGCTGCTGCTGATTGTTGCAATTGGGGTGCTGATTGGTGGCAGCGGGTTGATGTGGCTGCGCATGCCGGGCTGCAATTTGATGTGGTTGGGACGGTTTGTTCGCCGGGGAAGGGGATGTCGTGGTGGTTGTTGGGGTTTTTCAATTTTGTTTGCTCGAAATTGATTTTTGATTTTGATTTTGATTTTTGATTTTGATTCAATTTTGGGATCTGATTTTGATTTTGGTTGGTGTTTGATTGATTTTTGGTTGTTTTTTTGATTGATTTTGATGGGGGGATGTTGAATCGTGGGATTTTAAGAACCCTAAGTTGGGATTAATTTGGTGCTTGATTTGATTTGGATTAATTTGGGGTTTTTGTTGATCTTGCTTTGAAGTTGACAAAATGCCCAGATTTGATGGAGGAGAGAGAAAGTGGGGGAGATTGGGGTGAGGGAGCAATGGTGGGGGTGGTGGTTGGGAAGAAGAAAGGAAGAAGGTAGGAAGAAGAAGAGTGAAATCGGGGAGAGAGAGTGAGAAAGCCAGAAAAAAAGGAAAAAAATAAAAAAAGTGGGGCCCACTGACGGAAATTCCACCGGAATTGCTAAATGGGTGGTCATTTGAGTGTTTTTTTAAATTAGTGGGTGGTATTTTAAAATATTTTTTTTTTGGGTGGTTATATCGAAATAGGCATATTTTGTGGGTGGTAATTTGCAAATTTTCCTTTATGAAATTATAAATTATAGGACTCATAAGGGATGTCTTTGGGTCGGGTAAAATAGAAGACTCAACCTATATCCGCCCCAATGAGGCAAGGATGGAGAGTGGTTTAGCATATGATGGGGCGGGGATAAGTATAAAAAGTGTACATGTCACGAGCGCGTTTGGATTTTAGAGTAAACCCACCCTTTACTCGCCTTAGTGACTTACAATAAAATAATTATTTTTTAAGGAAACTTACGGTAAAATAGTTTAGTATAATTGTATAAGTAAGTATAATTGTAAAATAGAGTAATATAATATAGTAGATTAAAGAGTCTAGATACTATAATAAAAAATTTACAATTTATTGAAACCTGCCTAAGAAATTGAATAGTAAGACACTCAATAGTACCAGTGGTGTAGTGGGTATGAGGCAGGTCTGGGATAAGTATGGATATCCAAATGGTTGGTGAGGTGGGAAAGGACATTAGCTTAGGGCGGGGATGGATGTGAGTATTAAACTCGCCATGCGTAGTGGGACGAGGATGAGTATAAGATTTTAGGTGGGGATGGATGTGGAGGTACCATCCTATGGAGGTAGGTGGATCACGGTTAGGGAGGAGGAAGATTAAGATGAAGTTTTTTATTTTATTTTATTTTATTCAGAATATAGAAATATTCACAATTTGTCATCGAGATAAACATGGAGAATCCTGGACTCCCTCGAAAGATAAATAGAAAGGGGAAAAAAGAGAGAAAGGGAGGTGGTGACAGAGGAGGGGGGAAAGGGTAGTTGTGGCAGTGTGTAGAATTTCCCAAACAAAAAAAATCATGTGGAGAATATTTTCACCATTAGGGTAGCTCTTAGTGACTCAAGTTAGTGGAATATGATGTGGAAGAGTTAAAAGTATAGAGAGAAATTGGGAGCTACTCCACCAATGTGGATGCTCTAAAAATTTATTTAATTTTAATCAAAATTTATACTTGTACTTCGATTCTTACCCTTGTTTTAACTTCTTATCATTTGACATATTAAACTCGACTTATGAATATATCCCAGTGAATGTACCATCCTATGAATTACTGAAGAATAATATATCGTATCATTATTACATAAAATGATTATCAGTCTGTTTGGAACGAGTCAAATCAAATAAAATGATTTAGGGTAGCTTTCAAAAAAAAAAAAGATTTAGGGTAAAATTCGAGTCTACGATAGCGTAATTGGATTTAGATCAATTTGCTAGGTTGATGGGATGAAAGTTAAATAACAACAAAGCTAGTGAAAAAGCTGGATGTTTTCCTAAAGTAAGCCCATTTGGAAAAATAATTTGCAAAATGGATGTGTGACAAAACTATTTACCAAACTAAGCTTCCAGGGTAAAACGCTGTCTCGGACAAGCGTTTTATGCCCTGTTTTTTTTAAAAAACAAAATTCAACCTAAAAACGCTGTCTGGGACAACGTTTTTAGTTGTTGACTTTTTTTTAAGAATTTTGTAATTACCAGTTTGTAAAAAAATTTATTTACAAAGAGTACTAAACGCTGTCTGAGACAGCGTTTGTTGTTGTTAATGAAACGAAGCAACGTTTTTATTTTTTTTTACGAAGCAGCGTTTGTTCCTCACTTCTTCATTCCCAAACTTCTTCATTCCCAAACTTCCCTTAACTTAATCCCTCTCTCTCCAAGATACTTGTGCTCCTCTCTCCAAGATCACCTGGGATCCGTATGTACCGGAGTTGGTAGATGCCATGCCTGCACATCTACTAGATCATCAGGCAGAGTGGCGTGCTAGGGTCCCCTGATTTGTTTCGAGGTCGTGGAGAGTCACCTACCCGACCGCATCATGCGACAATTCTGACTACGCCAGCCTATTCCCCAGCATTGTGACACTAGTGTACGCCTTCACGGCATTGACCGGCAGGGAAAGGGGGAGATAAACTGGTCAGTGGAGCATTGGCAATTCCTTCAGCTATGGCAGCAACGGTTGGATTATGTCGTTTGAGGTGATCCGATACAGGGCGTTATGGATCCTCACGATCCGTACATGGTGTGGTATAGGCGTATTACACGCCGTTTCATCAACCCCAGCTACACACCACCGTCCACACATTACCATTCAGCGTATGACGTCATTAGCAGATATGTGAGTTTCTTTTATTCTACTTATCGTCCTCATTTTTTATTTTTTTATATATCATGTAACTGACTAATCGATGATTATTGCAGGCGGCGGATATGCAGGCTATGTTTGATGCACTGTCACTCGCCCTTGCAGACGGACCCGCCAGAGCCCAGGTCGAGCGGATGCGAGATATGTCTGTGACTTTCTTACAGAGACATGGTCACAGTTATCTCGTCCACCAGCGGGACAGTCAAGATGGCCACTCCTTGTTTGACCCCGGCCAGAGTAGCGGTGGAGGTGATCCTAGGACACCCACAGACGCAGAGGAGTACATCATCCACAGCGCCCACCGGGACCTAGGAGGACACATCGTCCAGCCAACTCACTCCCCCACCGCCCCGAGACCCATTCAACACCATTTCTCATTACAGTCGGCGTCATAGACGGACGGACGACAGTCAGGCTAGGGAACCTTTAGCCCCAATTGATGAGTCGGGATAGTATTGTATGATTTATTTGTTGTAGAGAAACATTTTCTAGAATGATGTATATAACGATTACATTATTAATATAATACATGTTTGTTGAATGAATCTGTGAGTAGTTTGAAGTTCAGTTTCCTTATTTATCCAAATCGGACTTATGTCAGTCAAAATAGATTCTTCTAGGCCGATATATATCAAACAACAGACATTTGAGATCCATAATCTGAAGCGGGGTAGAAGCGATGCCCCGTGGTGGTTAATGTGGTGGTTCATGGTGGTTTTAGTGCTGTTGGTTGTGGTGGGTGGTGGTCGACGGTGGTGGAAAGGTTGGGGTTGGTGGTGGAGGTGGTTGAAGTGTTGTTGGGGGTAGTTGGACTGTTTTGAAGTGCATAACGGTGGTCGAAAGTGGCGGAAGGTGGTGGTCGACGGTGGGGGTTGGTGGTGGGGGTGGTGGTTGACTGTGGTGGCTTAATCAAGGCAGGGGTGGTCTGTTGGGCAGAAATTAGAGAAGCAGGGCAGAGATTAGAGAACAAAGGCTGCTGGCTGTTGGTGCTGCAGACCAGCAGAGAAACGCTGTCCCAACAGCGTTTATGTGTTTATTAATTTTTTTTTTCTTTTTATTTTTAAAAAACAGAAATTACAAAATTCTAAAAAAAAAAGTCAACAACTAAAAACGTTGTCCTAGACAGCGTTTTTAAGCTGATTTTTTTTTTTAAAAAAAAACCAGGGCATAAAACGCTGTTTACCTTGGAAGCTTAGTTTGGTAAATACTTTAGCCACGCAACCATTTTGGTATTTATTCTATCAATTGGGCTTAGTTTGGAGAAAAGTCGGAAAAAGCATTGTCATTGTTGTACAACTAATATGCATACAAGCTCAATTGTTACACTTGGAAATAAAAAATTATCTATATGACTATACACATACAATATCTTATCTTTTATAATCAAAATCCTTACAAAAAATAACTAATCTAACTTATCAACCTGTCAAAATTGTAATACCTTCCGTGACCCCAAAATCAGAGTAACAAGTAAACAGCCAAGTGATAAACTATAATCAACAAGATAATACAAGAAAAATACCCAAAAATTACCTTAGCTAATATTCAGCTAATGTTCACAGATGACTAAACTTTTTGCTATATCAGTAAATTCTGCTATGGAAGATTTTTATACTTCCAGCATATCCTATACAATTAGCTACAAAGTCACATAGCCGAGCAGATTACGACAGAGGTTTTGCAGGAAGTCCAAGATGGGCTCATTTGCTTAATTCAGTTAGCAACAGCAAAAGAATTGGACAGGTCACTGAGAAGAGCTTGATCCTTCTTCAGTAAAGCTAACTGGTCTTAAGAAAGGTGGTCGATATGCATCTGCTGCATTATGGGAGTTGATATCCAAATTACTTTCTTTCTCGTCGCTCTCATCATTCTCCTTAAGAATCTACAAGAGAAAGTTTAATGAGCTTTAACAAGGAAAATGGCAAAGTAGTACAGCAGTATCTAACCCTTCCCTCTCTTGAACAGGAAGACTGGGAGCTTTAATGACCACATGGGTGCATAATATCAAATTTAAATTTTCAATACAATAAGAAGAATTTATAAGCGGACATGAAGCAAATGTTTTAGGTTAAATTCCATAACCATGCGTCCATTCCAACAGCAAAATATATGGTACGGTATGTGCATAGTCAAAATGGAACAATTTTATAAGGAAAAAAAAAAAACCCCAAAGTGTAGCTCAACGATCAACTTTGTACATAATGCAATTCTATTCCACATCCAACATCCAAAAATTGAAAGGACATGGAAATATGGAAGTAACAACATATTAATCACTTATATTGAAATTCACAAGCACCTGGATAGTATGTTGGCTGAAAGACGGAAGAAAGCGGAGCTTGCAATACTCATTGAACAGCAATGTGAACACAAAAAGTGGCAATGTGGCAACTGATGCCCCTGGCTTTGACTTCAATCCGAAAAGACCAATCATAGTAATTTGCATGAGAATGAGGGCAAAAAAGATGTAAGAATGAATGTATGGCCAATATTGTCCACTAGTTTCATAATCAGTTGGATATACATCCTCAATCTGCAACAAGAATAGATTGAAAAATTCCAGTTATGCATCTGACTTGAATAGTATTGTTAGGGAAAACATAAAAGAATTTATGAAGCTGTCAATTACTTTCTGATATTCAACCAAAAAACCTTTTCAACACATCAGCATGTATTGTATATTATATTATATTGATACTTCAATGAGTTCAATCCTATGACTAGCACTGAAGAGAGAGAGAGAGAGAGTGTGTGTGTGTGCGCGTGTGTGCTGCCTTTCAAATTTTCTTAAGGATATATACCTGTGCTATGGATTAACCTGTCTTGTGTTGTTGCCTAAGCAATAGATACTGTACTATTTAATACCTTTCTAGCATAGGCATCAAATGCCAATGAATTTTCAGTACATCAGCTTGCTTCATATGTATTTCTAAATAATCTTTCACTCAAACTTGAAAATTTTCGAATACCTTTTATCCTCAGGTTGCACCTACAAAGTTTGATAAATCATGCAAAGCATTTCAGAGTTATACTATAGAAACAGTTCTCATGATGTGATGGGCAACATAGTGCAACTACTTTTTTTTGTAAGCTAGGTACTCGAGAGATCAAAGAAACACTAAGATTAGAGATCTACCAAGATTTTGATTCTCATCTAAGTTTCACTGGGAGAGGCTTACATTACTTTAAGATCGCAGAGCCTGTCATCAAGGGAAGAAACTATAGAGATATAATTTACGTTCATTTCAGCATAGGGACCAGAATAATATCTGTAATAAATTTCTGATCATGTTTTTGTTATTTTTTTAAAAGACAAACTTTATTATTAGTTTAACTCTAATAAGATTTGTCTTATAAGAAAAACCTACTACTTTACTTTACCAAGCAGATTTAAGCTAAGCCATTGTACTTTGTACATGTCCTCTTTTGAGACTTTGACAGTTATGATTGTTTAGGAATATTATTTGATAAATATTAAGACTTGTTGTCAAAGAAAGAATCACATGAATGGTTTACAAAAATATGGGAAGAACCTGCTAACCTAGCAAGATTATACTGTGTGGTTTGCTATTATTCAGCAAGACAACCAACAGCAAATTGGCCATAGAATTTAAATTTTCATTGGATATACACATTGGCATGGTAAAGTGTGTCAAAGATAAGAACCAAGTTGTTTTAGTACAAGATGAGGACATCAAGGACAGGTGGAAGGGGTACCTCGATGAAATGTTTAATGGAAGTAATGGAGGGGTGATAGGAGATACCTCTGTGAGTGATGAAGAAATCAACATGGAGTATGTGTGGAGGATTAGGAGAGTAGAGGTGGAGATTGCATTGAAGAAGATGAAGCCTAAGAAGGCGGTTGGGCCGGACTGATAGAGGTGTGGAGGTGTTTGGGTAAGATTGGCATTGATTGGTTAACAGATCTCTTTAACAAGATATGGAGAGCTACAAGGATCCCGCAAGATTGGAGGAAGAGCACCTTGGTCCCGGTCTATAAAACAAAGGAGACGCTCAAGATTGTTCTAACTATTGAGGGATCAAGCTTATGAGCCACACTATGAAGTTGTGGGAAAGAGTGATTGAATATAGGTTTAGGACATGCATAAGCATTTCGGATAACCAATTTGGTTTTATGCCAAAGAGATCTACTATGAAAGCAATCCATTTGATAAGACAGATGATGGAGTTTTATAGGGTAAAGAAGAAGGATCTGCATATGGTCTTTATTGATTTAGAGAAGGCATATGACAAGGTGCCAAGAGAGGTGCTTTGGTGGGCAATGTTGAAGAAAGATATCCCACGAAGGTACGTGGACCTGGTTAAGGATATGTATCAGGATGTGTCAAAAAATGTGAGGACATGTGGAGGGTTGACGAAAGATTTTCCTATTACAATTGGATTGCATCAAGGGAAAGATTTTCCTATTACAATTGGATTGCATCAAGGGTCTGCATTAAGCCCTCTCATGTTTGCAATGGTTCTAGATGAAGTAACTAGACCAATTCAAGATGAAGTCCCATGGTGTATGCTGTTTGCGGATGATATCGTTTTGGTGGATGAAACAAAAGATGGGGTTAATGCCAAGTTGGAGCAATGCGGGCAAAGATTGGAATCTAGAGGGTTTAAGCTAAGTCGGAGTAAGATTGAATATTTGGTATGCCGCTTTGGTACCCAGAGGGGGACAAGCGGTGAGGAGGGGAGTTTGGATGGAAAGGACTTGACCATGAGTGAATGCTTTAAATATCTATGCTCAATCATCCAGAAAATTGGTGATCAAGACGTGGCCCACAGGAGGGGTCAATTAAGTGGAGAGCAGTCACGGGAGTGTTATGTGACCGAAACATTCCCTTACAGCTCAAGGGAAAATACTACCATAAGACCAGTGTTGCTTTATGGTACAGAATGTTGGGCTTCTAAGAAGAAGCACATTAAAATGATGGAGATTACGTAAATGCGAATGTTAAGGTGGATGTGCGGGAACACTCTAAGTGATAGAATCAGAAACGAGGTTATTCGCAAGAAGGTAGGTGTGGCAGGCATGGCAGAAACTAAGGGAAAATCGTCTGCGTTGGTTTGGGCATGTAAGACGGAGACCCGAGGGTGAAAAATTACGAAGAGTGGAAGGGTGGGACCATGGAGGGGTTAAACGAGGGAGAGGGAGACCGAAAATGACTTGGTTGGAAGGAGTTAGGAAGGATATGAAGTTTTTGGATTTGCATGAGGATGAGGCATTGGATTGTAAGGGATGGAGGAGTAGGATCTTTGTCGATGATTACACGGAATAATCAAATTTGGTTCATGTAGCCGACCCCACTTATGGGATTAAGGCTTTGATTGATTGATTGATTGGATATACACATTATCTTGTTCTGAAAGATCATGAAAGTTTGACCATCTTATCAAACAACATACTCTCATAGTCTCATGTAATTGCACAAGAGGTCTAAACATAAACCCATGTGAATCCAAAAGATCTTAATCATTCATTAGCTAATATACCTATTAGATTGACGAAATCCATGGATAAATATAGTGAAAAAAGTGAAACAGCAAAGACTAGGCGATACATTCACTTCATGTTGAAGAGCTGAACAGCAACTGCATAAGCAGCTACATTTTCAAGTGAACTTGTGCAGCAATTTATGAATTTATAAAAATAATCATAGAATATTCTTCTCTAAAACAAAAGACATGTGTTGCTAACTGCTACACTGGATCACTCAATTATGGTGCAGGACATCGCCAGTGAATATCATATCGGTTGCAAGGATGCTTATTTAATTAGCAGTAAAGGTAAGAAGAATACCTTAGAAAGATGTGATTTGGTATAAGCTCTGCGTTACCTCCATAGAAGATGAGATGTGTGCACACAATTTAAGGATACTTTACTGGGGTTTCATTTTAGCTGTTCAGAACCTCACATCCTCACATCAACAAATGTTCCACCTCCCACACTCTAGGATGTGTGTTTGTATGTGATTATCATGTCTTTCCTCATATATGGTTATTATTCTTTTGAGTTGCATTTTTATCAATATACATTTATTGTTCAATGTTTCACTTTTAACGCTATCATTATTTTGTTATGTAACATCCAGAAAACAAGATTCTTTGGAAGAAATTCACATTCTCAATGTTATTAGATTACATGACTACCACACCCAGCAAATAATGAAAGCCGTTCGAAGTGAGTGGTGAGTTCTTATGCCGTGCACTCAAAACAGATTAAGAAAACACACAGATCCCCAACCTGTCCCCCCCCCCCCCCCCTCTTAAAAGAGAACACAAAGCCCCAACTTCCCCCACCCCCCTCTTTAAAAAGAAAAGGGGAAAATGGCAGCAAACCTGCCCTGTTTCCTTTATATTTCCCCTCATTTTAATTGAGTAGCAACTAGGCAGGAAAAAAAAAAAAGCAAATTGATAATTTAACTCCAAATTAGCAGCAAGACCATGACCCTAATCAATTAAAAAGACAATTCCTCTTTCCAATTTGAACAAACTAACCTGGTTCATGTAGACAGCATATCCCAAGTATAAATAGCCAAGCACAAATGGAAGGAGCAAGGGAGCAACAAGTGCATAAACCATGCCGATTAGAAAACAGAGACAAACAAAGGGGATGACCCTGAAATAAGGCAGAGAATAAACATAAGGAGATCTTTCCTTTCCACGACCAAATGTATGTCTCTTTATGGCATCCCAAACCAGTAGGCCCGCTTGCAAAATTTCTAATGAGAAACCAGACAGTCCATCAGACAAGATGTATGTTGTGAAAAAATCAGCCTGATAGACAAATTAAGCTTATGAGATGTTCATAATCTACAATGTTAAAGCATACATGTTTGAAATCATTGCATTTTACAGAGTAGGATACTAGGATTTAATTAAAATTATTATTCATACCTAAAAATAAAACAATACTCCCTCATACCTTACTTTTTGATATCACAGATTAATATATATGTATATATATATTTTAAATATGGAATCAAGTAGTGTCAAAAAAACAAAAAACATATTCCCGGATTCCATAAAAAAAATTGGCATTATGAACTGGTTTGACAACCTTACCTGAGCTGCAACAGCACGAGCCAAGCGGCTTGGAAAATCACTTGGATGACTGAAAGATTCTCCAAGTTCATCAAGGAGAGATCCAGATAATAAGGTCAAGAAGAAGACATTGCCAACTAGAAAGTAAAACACCATATTGCAGACTTTTATCTCTGTCTGACTCCTTGAGGGATAGCCTGCTAAGTGAGCCATCCCCAGTATTGAATAAGGAACAACGTATATAAATCCATTGAGTATAACACTTGGCAGGTACCCTGTTACAACAGATTTTAATCCTGGTCTGCAAAAGAGTTCAAATGTTTGAATTAACCATTCATACAGCATCATTACATTCAACATTTCAGCAGCATCAGCAATAATGAAAAAAATAGGTGAGAAGAAAAAAGTTGCAGTTTGCTCAATTTTGCAAATACGAAGTCACAGAACCATAAAACAGACAAAAAAATATATCCTATATAGGTGTGTCCTGTGGCTCCTGTCCAATCAAACATTTATACGACAAAATAAGTTTTGCATCTATGAATGATCTAAATTTTTTTCACCTCGGCTAAAGTCTTGCTGAGCATTATTTTTTAAGCACGTGTTTTTCAACCCATTAAATAAGCAATAATAGTATAGTGTGCCAAAAGAAAACAACACAATGCATGATTGTGTTCCTAAATTTTACAATTCCATTCAAAAATCATTTTTTGGCATAGATTTATGACAAATTTAGAATCATCAGTTATACTTCACGTAAGTCATTCTATTAACCTTTACATACTGTTCATTTCAAAGGAATCTGATCTCAAATAATAGATATATTTTGGCCAAGTCATTGTTTTGTTTATCTTAATTGGAAGTTACTATCAAAATTTATAAGTGAACAAACATGCTTCACAAAAATGGAGGAAAACACATTTGTCAATTAACTTAGACAAAGTAGACTTTGATGTTAGGGTGTGGCTTTGCAGAATGGCTCACAAAGACATAGATTCAAGTTATACTTAAGACCAGAAATAATGTTTTCAACTAAAAAACGTTGCTACCAGATCAAATAAAAAAAAGGGTAAGTTTCCAACCAATTTACTATCTAATAGCTAACATGATTTTGCCATGCTAGCAAAATGTGAGTTTTACATGTTGGGTATTTTAATTCAAGTTCAGTAGCTTCATCAACTATATAGGCTGATTTATAGACTTAGATGTTTAATTATGTTTAGGTGTGAGAAGTTATGTTAAATCCACATATCCATATTAAGCTAGCATATAGATAGCTATGAAACAAGAATACTCACATTAACTGCACGGCCATTGCTGGAGGGAACCACTTCATCAGCCTTTCAAATTTAGCTATTCCTTGAACAGCTGCTACCGGCACAGTGAAGAAAATTGTAAGAAGTGTTGCAGCAAGATAGAACCCAATTTTGTACAACAGCAGCCTCCGAGAAGGGGTTGACAAGTTTTTCCATAACAAATCTCTAGGTTCTGGAGCTTCTTCTGTAATCCACAAGAAAGGATGTGGGTGCTGTTGGGACTGTGCAGCAAGTGCAGCTCCCACCCGAGATTTAAATGTCACAAAAGCAGCAGCCAACTCCTGAAAAAACAAAAGATTCTTGGTGAGCTTAACTTAGCACAACACAAATTGACGTTATGGACAGGAAAAGGGATTAGTAGCTGCTTTCAATTCCATTATTTACCATAACTGAAAATTCTGATGGGTGAAACTGGCAAAAGAATATTTAAAGGGGCCAAGTCTTAAACACAATACCTAAAAGGTTAAATTGTACAAGACTAAGATTTGAAGCACTAAATTACAATAATTTTTAGCTCCCCTGTGCTCACACATGCACGGGCGCACATCAAAAAAAAAAAAATATTTACAGTAGACAAGAATAATCTCAAGTTTTGGCCATCTATTATTAATCCCGACTTTGAGCTAACTCAAAATATTCACAACTAAAGGCAGAGTAAGGGCTATTCCGATAATAGTCTGAGGCAGGCATTGTTCATTTCATTTGTAAAAGTAAGAGAAAAAAGAATAATCCTCCACCCAGTCACCCACTAACATCATTCCTTTTCCTCTCTTTCCTATCACTCTCCATTACCACAATCTCTTCCTTACTTTCATCCACCTATTTAGGCTCTCTCTACCATCAACAGCTCATCACCAAAACCACCCCTCCTTTGCTCAGAAACCATTTTTTTTTAAGTAACAATTTAAATAATACACCACATAAGATACTGTGTTTAACAAACATTAATGTCTTTAGCCAAAAACATGTACATGAATATGTTTCCATATTTAAATTTATACTTACATGTATATGATTAAAAGCCTGCATGTTTGTGTGCATACATACACAAAGACACACACGCAAAGTACTTCATCACTTATAAATCAGGGAAGGGGGTTGGGAAGACAAAAATAGAAGAGCGTATGCATTTATCTTATCCAACTAGAAAGTATGACCATACAGGCTCCACACAAGTCTTAACGAACAGCAAATAGTAACAATGTCTAATCTTAGGTAATGAATGAAACTGTCACTACAAAACTAATTTACCATTTTCTGAAGCATAGTTTCATACTGCATACCACTTATAACACCACATATTCTGCAAAGTTTTTCCTCCAGCAAAGTGATTTTTGAGGCATCTTTTCTCAAAGGTTCAGTAAGTGAATCCTTCCGATTAAACTTCCTTCTCATGGACTTCTCTTGCAATCGTTGTATCTTTCTTTGTATTAAGGCTGCTTGTTCCTGCATAAGGCAATGTATTTATTTGATATACTAATAGTTCCACAAGAATGAAAAGACTAATCTAGTTCCCAAACTTAGAACAAGAGTGGTAGCTTGAAGCAACTCAACTGTTATTCATTTGGCCAACTAATTTAACTTTTTTTCCCCTGAGAGTAAAATACATATGATAGGGAGGACACAGCATTCAGGGGTAACATCCCTATCAAACATCAATCCCTGGTGTACTTGTGATTTAGCCGATTGAAGAATATGATTTTTTAATAAGTTCTCTAAGATCATTTACAAGAGCACAAAAACAAAAGAAAAAGATTCTACTAAGGAAAATAAGTAATACAAAAAACTAAATTGAGCTAGCCATATTTCACACCATTATTGAAAGTTAGCTCCAGAGAAACACCAAGAAAGTGATACAGTCCCACAAAGGAAACAGATATGTAGTACATAATAAGGAAGCAGAAGAGAAGAAGAAGGCTCAAACTATCTGAAGCAAGGCTGTAACGTGGGTGGCTAAAAATCCGATCAAGTTGAATTAAATATCTCTCTACTTTCTACTTATAAGGAATATTCATTACTAAAACAAAAATGCAAATCTTAGATTTCAATATATATATACTGTGGTTTGCAGCTCTATTTACTTTCCCAGGATGGTCATGCACATAAAATTCATATCTTTAATGACACTAAAAACAATAAGGAACTCCAACCCTTCATTCTTTCAAAAAGTTTACATAAATGACATACATTAGGTAAGTAGCCAAACACTCTGAAGAAAATGCTGATTTCAAGTCTCATCTATAGGCAGTCTGCAAATTGGTGCACAATTATATAAATATATTCAAGAAAATAGCAATTAGTTGATGCCTCATAGTGCTTACCTGCAGCAAAACAAGATCCCTCCCATCATACAGCATCTGATGGGACTGAAAAGCATGTTGATAATGTCTGGTGAAGAAGTGATGTACACTGCATCCATAGGTTTTATGTTCAGGACAAAGTGGAATTTCTCGAACTAAAATAGTGAAGTGATCTGGTCTATTCTTTAATTTTTGAAGCCATAGAATTCTTTTAGCCAGAATCTCTTTATATTCCTGCATATTAGAAATGATGTAAGTCTTGGCATTACTGGTTCATAGGTAATTCATATATCAAAAAGAGAAAAGAACATTGTCTTTACGAAACTTATTCACATTGAGTCATGGAAAGTAAGTCCCTCTCATAAACCAGGCTAAAATCCACTACAGATCTCATCAGTGCCATTACCTTCAAGAGTGGCTGAAAATGTCTCATTCTGACAAGGTTAAGGTTATACTTCCTCACGTTTCTCAATTGATGCATCATAGAGAAATGGCACACAAACCAATAAGAAGGAAAGAGAGTGGTGTGATTTACATATTTGTCCATGTGTTAAACTTTACCTGGTAAAAGTGGAGAGTTGGTCTACACTTATTATGAGAACAAGATAATAATTTCGCACATAAAGCTAACTAAAAAGAGAAGTGATGCATCTATTGTAAAACTTCCCAAAAAGGAATATGATGCATCTATTGAAAAACAAAGAGAGTATGTAGAAGTGTGCAGTATATTATGAGTCACATTATCAGTTGTCAGTATAGTCAATTGTATACTACCTCTATTTCATATTATTTGCAACAAATGAATTTATACAGACTCTTAGGCAAAATTTGTTTGTGAGTGTTAAATGAAGAGTGAGATAAAAATGTATCTGATGAGAAAAGAGATAGAGAAAAATGACAACTTAAAAAGGAAAGAAAACATTTGCTGCATAATGTGTAGCAGCCATTTTTAGTAAGTGTTACACATAATATGAAACAGAGGTAGTATAATAAATTAGATCGGCAACTCTTTAGCTCCTCATACATTAAGCTTAAATAGCAACCCTAGTTTTTAGAGATTGCATTAAAAAACTTTCAATAGTTTAAGGTAATTAGACCAAGGCATTCTCACATCTTGATAATTACCCTTGAACATCCCATTTAATGATAATTACATTGAGTGGTCCTAATACAATCTATAGGTGATAGTTCTATTGGCAGCACCTAGTAAGCATAACCACATAGAATTCCTTTACCAGTTGTTTCTTTCCATGCTAGCAGCAATGCACAGAACAAGTCCTATCATTGATATAGGCTGATCCGCTAATTGACACTTCCTTTCTCAAATATTCTTTAGCTAGCAAAAGAACCTTTAAACAGAGGAAGATTATCTTTTAAGAAGATTTGTCATCCTCAGAATACCTCATTACACTCAATCCACAACTCCAATCCATCCCCGTCATTTCCAAAGTTGTTAAAAAAAAAACATGCATACTTTTCTTGGGAAAGAAAATTTACAATTCTTACAACATCGAAATTTTCAAGATATTATGCAGAGTATATTTAGATTCCTCTTGAATCACCTTCATAATTCAAAAAAATGTCAAACTGCAAGGCTTCACAAGAATCAAGAAAATCTTTTGCAAAGTGATAGCATGTTTTACAGATTCATTATTCTCCACTTGAAATTTCTTATCTATTTGAGTTAAAAAATGAAAAAGCCCTACTTGAAAGTGCCTGAATTCCTATACCAATTTCTTCTAGAACTGTCTCTGTAAAGATGATATAATAAGGCCAATATCCTAGCAATACTGTATCCCAACCAAATGATAACACTAGAAAAATCAGAAAGAACTAGTTTCGAAATTGAAAGCCAAAAAGAAGAAGCAGTGCAATAGATTAATAATATATTTTTACACTTTCAAGTTTAGGAAGCTCTAAGACACCTCTAACCGCTCTAAGTTAACATGATGATACCAACTCCCAATATAATGGAGGAGAACCTTAAATCTAGATTACTTAGGAATCTACATTATGAACATTCGTTTGTGCAATAGAAGGCAATTACTATTATACTAATCAAGCAATACTAATGGTTCCATTTAAAGCATGTATAACGACCGATTGATATTGAGTGCAGAACTCACCTTATACAACATGTACAATCCATACAAGGAAATGAACCATAAGCAAGAAAAGTGGACCCACAGCCTGTTGATAGAAGTAAAAGAGGTTGTCAATACACTTGAAAAATTAACTTTGTGCTAGGAATTAGATCAGAAACAGAGATTCTAAGTACAGCTAAGAAGCAAATTAGGCCCCAAATGATACTATGTTGTATTGATAATCAGAGAAATTAACAACACAACAATCCTTCTTTCGAGAGGAAGGATTCTCTCCCAACTTCTTACTACAATTTTCAGGAAACCTCTCTCTTCTTACAACTCCTCTATTTATAATCAGTTGCTAACAAACTCTTACAGCTAAGAAGGAATAACAGACAAATTCCAAAATTACTTTATTACCCCAAAACCCACTAACAATCTCATAACAGAATTCCACCTCATCTCTCAAGTTGCTGGTGAATTCTTCTTGGCCTTCCTGCAAGCATAAGTGATGACGGGCCTGGGCTGATTCCTTGAACTTTAATGGCTCCAAATCATGAGGATCCAACATCTATGAGGGTATCATCATAAAATTATACATCCAGCTCAACGTCCAATTCAGAAATATGATGAAGTCATTGAGAATGAAGTGATACCAAGGATATCATACAAATTACCCCCAATGACCTCTCACAACATGCCCATTAATGGAGGCAAAGGCGGCCGCCAAATGTAGATAAGATGTGTTACACATCATAAAATAAATTCAACCAATCACGCATAATCCATAATTAATGAAACATAATCTTCCTACATATACAATCATTTCTTCTAGAAAAAAATAATAAAGACTTAGAACTACACCCCCAGACCCCACACATATCATGTCTAAAGTAGAGCTATTTAAACGGGTGGTGGCCTTGGTGGGATGACTGGTAAACGGGTGATGGACTAAAATAGATTACCCGAATCCGACCTGCATCCGTCACCACTTCCTCCATGATATTAAACGAGGTGATTAGGGTTTTGGATCATCCACTAGATATTTCTATCCCTAGGCACTTGTAGTAGTGTCAGACAAAGACGCGAAGAAGAAGAATAGCATATTACTATAGAATGATATGGCAGCTAATTGGGGGGGGGGGACCCTTATCCATAAAGGACCTTTAAAGTTCAAAAAGATGATGCAAAACAATGCAAGTTACTACTATTTCATTAGTACAGTTTCTTACTTTTAAGTCCTCTTCTAAGATTTAGAAGAAAATTCAACTCATACTCTATATCATTGACGCAAAACAATGCAAATTACTGATTATATTAAGATTTGTTTCCACCACAGGAGTAAATGAAAAGTTTTAAGTAAAAAAAATAAATAATGGACAGAAATATTAATTCAAATTAAGTAGTTTAGAAGAAATACAGCCATAATTATCTCCAAAGAAAAGAAACAGCAAAAAGTCCTGCCAACAAAAGTCCAAAACCCACTTTAAGGGGAAAACAGAAGGCGAAGGGTGATTTACTACAACAATCATTTGCTAAACTCATCTACAAGCAGAAACCAAGACAATAAGGTACATATAATTAGAAGCAGCAATGAAGACAATCAACTACTCTCATACATTATTTTGCTGAAGATGAAGGGGAGCATTTACTCTGTACCTATTAGACCCTGCTCTGATATTTGATATGGTAAACGAATTCATGTAATGTGAATGGTTGGACTGTGAGGACTCGGAATAGTAATTGAGTGGAAGAAGTATTAGCAACCCGATCACAGAGCAAACCACAAAAAATCTAATACTGCAAAAAAGAGATCTCCGTATAAATAACAGTGAAAAGGATGTAATAGTCAGAAGTTTCTTACAAGAATGGAACATCAGAACTAACTGAGTTAGATATAAAAGAGAAGACATACCATACCTTACATGTGTTCCAAACAATTATGGTTAACACTAGAAACTAAACAGCACAAATTATGTAACGCGGAAAACCCTTTAAATTTGACATCATTTCTAACAGGCATTAGTCCAAAAGCAGATCATAGATTTATGATAATCCATAATCCATATTCATTCTTTTTGTAGTACCAAGTTACCCCAAATGTTCCCATAGTAAAATGCTTTTTGTTTGTGTTAAACAAGGAGATCATATAATCATCAACCATAAATCAATATAAGTGTACGATTTACATGTTTCATATGAGACAATTAACTCTTACACATCTCCAACAGTTGGCTTTATGTGTTTGTTGACTAATAGAAGAGAGGTCAGATGCAAAATATCTGAAGAAGCTTAACTATCCATCACAAAACAGTGAACGTTATTCAAATAGCAATATTTTCCTGATTACCACCAATAGTTTAGTGTTCATCACTTTATCTAAAAAGATTGTCCTATTCTTTAATTTAGACCTTCTTGTTTTCATCAATAACAAATAGGATTTAATGTGAGCTTCATTGACCTGAAATTACATCATTTCGTAATAAAAAAAATACTGCACTAATTGAATATGAATATATTTTCATATAGTTTTACTCTAAAAAAAAATGATAAAATTCAATTTTAAAAATTACAGCATTGTATTTTATACCTATAGTATACCTTCACATATTCTCATCTAACTCATACAAATTAGAAAAAAAATTCATAAACAGAACAATACGGAAGAAAATAAAATCAAACAAAACTAATTCAATAAAATGTTTGAATATGTAGTAAAATACCCAAATTTGAAGAGACGGATGATAATGAGAGCATCAAGGCCAGAATAGCTAAGAATATCATCCTCGGAAACCCGAAGAGCGCGAGGAATCCACGAAACGGAAGGTAGAAGACGGCGAAACGAGAAGCGATCAAACGACAGCGGTTGTTGTTGATGAGAGAGACGACGAGCGTAGTAAATGAAGGAATTCGAAGGTTGTTTCTTGAGAATGGAGAAAATACAGAGGATCGCCATTGCTAACCCTATGTTTATTGCTGCTGATGCTACAAGACCTTCAGGAGTCATTTTAATGGAGGTTTTTCAGGAGAGAAAAAGTGAGAAGAGAGAAGTGAAAATGGAGGTGAATTGATTTGTTTCTGAGTGACATTTCAATTGACACTGTTGTCTATTGCATGTTTAACGTGGCAGAGTTTTAGAGCGGGAATTTAGCCCTCTTCTTTTGCTTACCCGTTAGGGAAAGGACCTCAGTGAGACGATAACTAGTGTTTGAATCAGGCCAAACTTAATTACTCGGTTTAGTCGATTACTATATCTTTGTCCGTCTTAAGTTTCCTTGTTTTCCTATAGGAATATATGATGTTTTTATTTTTATTTTTAAAGTTAGCAGGGTCATACCAATCTCTCTACTTTTTTTTTTTTATTACTGTAAATGCTAAAGTGTAACAAAGTTGAATTGATTGAGAATGAGACAGTTCTAAAGAGGTAGTAGGAGTACACGAGTAGCAAATAAAAATGTATAAAATTCAAGTGAAATCCATATGTGATTGTAGTGGTATGAATCTTTAATACAAAGCAGTTTTCTTGTAATTATAACTATTTTATTTACTTAATTTCGCTTCGAGACAACCAAATTATATGAAATAAAAGATTTCAATTTTAAGAGTTGGTAACTTTGTCCCCCAAATCAATGCAACTTGGTACTCCATCCCAAATTAGTTGTAAGATTCTACCACTTGTGTTGTTGGTTGATATACATCAAATCTGTGAATGGTCAAATACGCATTACTTTTTAATAGATATTATTAAATTTTAATTTGTTAAAAATATATGGTGTAACCAATCTAACAAATTCTATTTAATGATGTTAATATCTATACATGAGTTCAAAATACACTCAAAATTTAAAATAATTTACCTTAAAAGTCATATATGAATTATTTTGAGGCGAAAGGAGTGGTAATTTTAGCCTATTTCTCCTCATAAATTCATACATCAATGGTGACAATAAACCCCTATCAAAATTCCCAATGAAATTCTCATATAAATAAATGGTGTGGCACATTGTAAACAATTGTAAGAAATTGATTTCTTTTTTTCTTTGCCTTCTTTGACAAAGAAACAATACAAAGCCTAACTAGTTAGTAGTTACCCACTACCTAATAATTGTATATTGACCTATGACTAAAATTTACCTACTACTACATATTTTTGCCTTACTTTGACAGAAGTAGATCAATAAGTTAGACTAACTTACAGTAAAAATATGCATTGTTCAACTAATTTGATGACAGATATTCACTATCATAGGGAACCTTAGTTGCAGGGATCCATTCATTTCCTTGGATCAACTGAGAAGCAGTGTATGGCAATGCCTCACTTGCATCTTCAACCACCTTAAAACCTGACCATTTTACTCTCCTACTCGTATCAGCTCCCGGTCCCAAGTTTCTGTACTCGAGGTAAATCGCATTTGAATCAGTGGTATTAGGCCACTCTTCCCACCCAGAAGGACTGATTAACCTATCCAAGAACGATTCCATTACCATGACAGTTGAGTAAGGAAACCACGGTCTACCTAGAAATCCACTTATGTTGGTCCTTAACCCATCCTCGGGTGCTGATGTAAAGTTGCAGCCCTGCAGTGTGAATCCTGAATTCTGATCTAAGGACTGTCTTCCTTGTGCTGTGTAGGTCACTATCTGATATTCTGATACGCGACCATAGAGGTTACATTTCTGAAATACAGCAGTTGCAAATCCGAAGATAAAATCAACTGTTCCATAGATGTCACACTCTCTATAAAATTGACTACCTTCTTTAGCATACAGAGTGTCATGGTACCCTATGACTTTACATCTGTAAAAAATCGCGTGGTTTGCAGAACATAAAAGTGCTACTGCTTGGCCACTCTCACTTCCTGCATTGTTCTCAAAAGCTATGTCTTGTGCCATGAATCCATCACCTAAAACAGCTACATTTCCATGTACAAGATCATATTAACACGGGCGTAAACTAAAATCTTCTGCTTGAGAATTAACATGACAAATTGACAAAGTATCAATTACACTATCGAACCTCCAAACAAAGGAGACACAAACACAATCTTACATATCATAGCATAAAGTATGCTAAATTACAGCTCATTACAACATATAATGAATTGTATAAAGTATATAACATCTTTCCTGGAAAATATATAAAAGTATGTTATACAGCGTATGAAATTGGCTTTCAACGAGTAAAAAAGTAATCCTGCTAGAATCAGAAGACTTGTCAATGCAGCTTCCGTTTCGTGTATTACATACCAAATTAAAACAAAATCAATCTAATTGAAATCCATATATTGAAAGTTTTTATATGCTTTACAGATTAAAAAACAGGTTGTGACAGAAGATATAAGCATTGTTTTGTCAAGTGCATCAGATTCTAAGGATGATACAGAACATAGAAAACTGCTAATTGCCACCATTTTCTGTAGAATCTGAGCATTTATATATTAATATATCAATAACACAAAGCGCGAAATCAATGATAAAACAATAAAAATCATCTATTGTTACTGAAAAATTAATCACAATCAAGAAACAATATGAACAACAATAAACTGATATATACTTACTGAAAGTGGCAGTTTCTGAAGTTGAAAATTCAGAAATCTGACGGTTAGCTGTTATTTTGGTGACTTCTGCTCCATCCCCAATTAATACAATGTTAGTCTTGCTTTGAGGCACGGTCACCACTTCATTGTACACTCCGGAGCAAACCCGAATGTGGAATCGCGACAAGGCGTATGATGGAGCAGAGAGGATAGCCTCTGAGATTGTTGTGAAATCCCCATCTCCATCTAGAGATACTGTGGCATTGAAGTTGATATTGCTTGTAATGGAGTTGGGTTTATGCAGTTTATCATGATATTTTACAAAGAAATAAACTCCAGGAACAGCCACTACAAGAATCAGCAGTATAAGCCAAACACAATTATTTTCTGCCATTTTGAATTTTCGTGCAACTATTATTGTGGATACAATTTTTTTTGGTTGTTTTGTGTATGTAGGAAAATCATACGGAGGAAAATGTTTCTTAATCTTTTGTTATGTTTTTTTTTTTTTTTTTTTTTTTATCAAGTTGATTGTTTTTAGGTCTCAAGAGTTTTTATCTACTTGTATAAGATCAATTAAAAGAATTCTTTAAAGTTTATCATGAAATAATTAAAAAAAAATGATTTCTTAATACGTAGTATTAAACTATAAGTATATCTACAACGCGTTCTGGTCACACCGTGTAGCCGGCTGATGTACATCAAAATACTAACTGGGTAACTTTTGACTGACCGAATCCCTAACCAACCGAGTAATCCATGACCAAGTAACCCCTTACCGTGTAACCCTGACGGACCGCGTAAACTCTGAATAAGTAATTCAGGCCATACGGTGTGGCCAACCACATATGTAACTTTGTGTAACCTTATTACATTTATATGTGGCTACTTGTTTCATAACAGAAAACTATATTGATAAATAATATATATGTACGTTAACTTTCTACATGGTGTAACATTATCTATTTTGGCAAATTTTAATAATTAGAAAAGGTATTAACACGGCTTATTGTCTTATTGAGGAAATTCAACAGTGTCAGAGCCTGAGAGGTAGGAAGCAGCAGTGGGATTGCCACTCTCTCGTTGAAGTTTTAAATTAGGTTAATAGCGAGAATTGTTTGGTTCATAATGGTTAGGATTATTTGTTTATTAATCATACTCAAAAGAGTCATAACTTTCTAATTACCAAATAAATACCCCTCCATTCATAAGAAAAGATTGAGGGAGTAATTAACTTTTAATCTACTTATCACATGAAATTTGTATAGTATATCAGGATGTACCATGCTCACGGTACACCCTGTAGAAAACAAAGGCATTCTTCAAATAATTTTTCTTTTTTTTTTTTTTTTTTTATAATGATTCCTCCTTAATTTAAGGGATTTGTTAGTTATTCTCCATATTAATAGTTTTCAAAAATAGATTTGATATTTTTGGAGAGACATAATTACAATTTCGAAATACAGAGAGAATTTCCACAGAGAGAATTTTTAGCAGAGAAAATTAATGGCGGGGTGTAAGAAATTCGACATGATTCCATTAAAGATTTGTTGATAATACGTATGAGAATGAAGATTTGGTCAATAATGAAGATGAATTTGAGGATTTCATAATCAAATATGAAGGTAATTTTTTTTTTATAGGTTTTTTCGTATTTAAATTTTATAATTATAATTACGATGTTGATGCTAATGATAATGTTCTCTTAAATTATTAAATTTCATAATTTGTGGATTATTTCGTAATCAAAGGAAGTTGGTGATTTTTTTTTTTGGGTATTATTTTCAAAGGTTGAAGATGATGTTCTTCTAATTATGATGAATGTTCCTTTATCACACATTCAATTTGTTGCAGACATTAAAATGGGTCCCAAGTAACTTGCCTAACCAAAGCGCGAGAGCTGCCACAAACTCGTGCAGATGTCTAATGCCAGTACGGTATGCCACCATATAATATATGTTGCTTCGTACTATAATTGTGTATCTTGCTCACCCAATTGCTTTTAATTGATATGGCTGTGGTGTAACCAAAAGATTATGCCGGGGTTGTATTTATCTGCAAATTACACGCCACCTCAGTAATCCTTTAATGAATGTCAACAACTAGATTGAGCGATATGGAGAGACATTCTGCAGCTCAAGAACCAAAAATGTGTCGCCTGATAATAAAAATTACGAGCAATTTTAATAGGGAATTTTTATTTTTTACGTTACTTTCCAGTTTTCTTGTGCATACTTGCAACTCAAGTGCTAGCTAGATCATCAGGAGAAATTACTCTAGGAGATTGAAATGACAAAAAATAAATATTATTAGTATTAGTGCTTCCTAAAGCTATTGATCATCAATAGTATAGTAGAAATTACTAAACGTGTGGAGCAAAAGCAGAAATCCTGGTTGCTATTGAACAACAACCAGATGAAATGCGTTGCTATTGACAGTGAAAAGCAAATCCTCAATTTATGTCTCTCTAGTAATAAAAGGCGCATCCTGATGACTTGTCTCTGAATCATAAATGAAAAATGCCAACAATTTAAGGCAATAACAAACCTTGAAGTTGCAACATATAGAGCGGTCTCAAGTATATTGGCTAAACAAAGTTGCTATCAAGCTCAAACAGAGAAATGCCAATTTATGCTTATCTGATGCTTCTTGGTACTATAGCAGTGTATCTTAGCCACACTATTGCTTACTGTAATAAACAGCGTCGAAACTTCCTAGCTTTGACAAGCTTCATTCTACTTGGCACATCTGCAGCGTAACTAAAACACTCTGCCGGGATCTGATCACTTTGCAACTATGAAATGACATTAATCCTTGGATGAATGTCTGAACGTGGACAAACTTTCTGCAGCTCTAGAAGTGTAGAACCAATAATGTTTGTCACCTGATATAAGAGAGTATGTGCAATGCTATTAGGCAAAGGATTATATGCTATTGCTTCTAGCTTTCTACAAGTTTCTAGTGCAAACATGAGATAAAATAGTACAAATCATCTCATTGTTTAAAAGAAAAAAAAAAAAAAGATGATACTTGAAAATTATAAAATACCTCGTTGACTATAAATCACCTACTAGCAGTATGTAGAAGTCAAATTCATTGCCCTTCCCTTACAGATACTCAGTAATAGGTTTACAATACTTTGTTTGGCGCAGCTGTGAAATTTTCATCCTTAATGTATATCTTCTATAGTCATTGGCTACGAGTCTATGACTAATGATTAACTATAATAGCATAAAAAGGAGTAAAATTTACAACTGTGAAAGTGATTGTTTATTTACAAAAGTTTACACAGTACATGACACAGAAGAAGTATCTTCTTACCAGTTAATAAAAGGGAAGAGCATACAATATCAGCAAAAATGAGTTTTTTTTTTTTTTTTCTTTTTGAACTATGCAAAAATGAGTATTGACAAAGTTAAGTGAACTAACAAGCATTATTCATGGAATACTAAGTTGGATACATGAATTAACACTACATTTCAGTTGGCGCTGAATAACTCCAAAGATTTTAGGAGGTTGAAATCATCAGTAGCCGAAAAAATGGGTAATGGTAGGAAAACAAACAGAACCAGCAGGAAGTTTTATCAACAGAGCAAAGAAAGAAGAGTATTAGTAATTAATAAGCTATGAGTGATTATACATCAGAACATACTAGTTTGGGATGATCAAGACAATAAATTAGCCAAGAGATTTTTATAATTTGAGATAACTCTGCAATAACACATGCCTAAAGAAGAAAACCTGGTTGTTATTGAACTACTAGAAGTCAAGAACAGATGAATGGCACTTTAATTGTGATTAAAAACAAATCCTTTAATTTTCTGGCAGACTGAAGAATATGTTACTCGAGTCCTTGAGGTATCCTTTAAACTAGAAGTACGGAATTGAAAGAGCAAAGGAATAAGTTCAGCAATAGAAGTTTAGACACGAATAATGACAAGATAGCCAAAGAAATAACCCCAAAAATCTAAACCATAAACACATGCCATGAGTTGAAATTTCTATCAGGTAACGTAGTTTTTCAGATCACCATCAGCAGCACTAGAAATTACATCTTAAATTAAAAATAAATTGACAGCAAAGGCAAGCTTAATTTTCCAGTACCTTAAAATTGTAGATGTTACTACTGTTAGGCTTTTCAGTTGCATGAGTTCTTAGCACCATAATATGAGCAAACAGTTGCATTTGAAGGTCATGTACTTGCTATTACGATATATCAGAACATTGCACATTTATTCTATAACAATAGCTTCAAGATAGTAAAAATATCAATATTTTTATTTCATCTGAAAAACATCTAAAAAGGTAAATTTGTAACAATCAAGTTAAATACATAGAAAAGGTATCTACAACTACAATATCCATTAGTTTCCACAATGACACAAAATTGAAATCTGATTTGAAGTTAAATTGTAGTATGTCATGAAAGATATGTAAATATGTACAACTAGTTAGTTGATCAAGTTTTCCCTTCCGCGATTACTATTTGCAACATCGTGATAATGTTCCTTCACTTTTCTAGAACTCTATACTAATTATCTGTTTGAGAATGCATAATACAAGGGGAAATTCCCTGTTTCTCACATGACATTTTCGTGAATAAATCAACAAATTTTTCATTATTGTGGGCTTCACAATTGAATAAAGTTGAATAAAATTGTTGGTTTATTAACGAAAATGCCATGTGAGAAACAAATTTTGTTTTTCACTATGAGAAACTGGGGCATCCCCACAAAAAGTAGGCAAAAAGGCCAGGCAATATCAATGTACTAATGTTCTGGTCTATAGATGTTGCATGGTCTTAGAATTCCTAAACAAAGTATCGCTTAACGAGTACAACAACCAAGTTTCAACAGCATGTAGGTATGCTGAAATATCAAGATTAGCTAGTTTATGTATCAATTAAGCCAGTGCACGGAAAACTTGAAAATAATAATCAGCTAAAGAATATGTCCTTAAAAGAAAATACCTTTATATATCTAAACTTACTGATCTATTGCATAAAAAATTTTGTACTTTGTACAATCATATATTGTTATAATTAGACTGAAAAGAGACAGAAATTGCAAAGTAAAATGCATAAATTAGCCTGAGATGGTTGAATTCATGCTAACCAGTTTATAATCTTTTGTTTGAGTGAAGTTCCATTGATTGTTGAGTGTTGTATCAACAAGCTGTCAGAAGTGAAATATTAGAAAATGTAAGTAAATGTAAGAAAATGAAACATGTATGCTAATGTAAAAATGTAAAACTTACTTGTTTCGGCTGAGCTTGGTTGACTTCCGGACAGAGGCATTGAGAATTTTCCTCTCCCATAATTTGTTATACGACCATTGGGATCACTTGTCAAATGTTGTTCTATCATTTCACACAATTCAATATCGACATTATCAATGTGTGGAGGAAGGCCATTGTCACCAAAGGATTCCAATTTGTGGCAACCAAAGATATGCATCCTGCGTAGTCTGGGAAGAGTGGAACAACATATTGTTTTCAAATTTTGAAAACTCCCGATATTTAACTCACACAAGGAAGAGGGAAAGTCAGGATAGCTAATGGACTCTAGTGTATCCCAATGATTCAAGCCTTGGGAATTACTAAGTTCTTCATTATAAAAATCTAGAAATTCAAGGGAAGTAAGAAGGTGCAATCCCAATGATTCAAGCCTTGGGCATTCGCTAACAACAAGACGAGTGAGGTTGGGACTGGTGCTGCCATTGAATGATACGGTTTTCAAATTTTGGAAACTGTTGATATGTAATGTAGACAAGGAAGAAGGGAGAGAAAGGTGTGATGTCAGGAAATGTAAACCACCTTCTGCTAAGCTATGGATTTTAGGGCAGTCTTCAATCGCTAAGCTCTGGAGGGAGGTAATATTGTGCAATTCACCAGGAAGCTTTTCTGTCACCAGGGAGGTAATATTATCGCATTCCTTCAAGTGAAGATGTTGTAAAGCTGGGAGAAGCAGGCTTTGCTGTAATGATATTAGACTTGGGCATCTTACTATTTCCAATTCGGTGAGAAGAGGAAGTTCTAATTTGTCACTTCCACGAGACAAATTCGTAGATTGTTCATCAAATTCTACATACCGTAGTTTCTCGCAATCATTAATCCTCAGCGATTTTAGAGTCAAGGGAATTTGACCAATAGAGACCATAGAATCGCAACTTTCAACAATGACATTTTCAAGATGAGAAATTGAGGAAGACGAATTCGTAGATAGTTTATCAAATTCACCAGGAAGCTTTTCCATATTTTCGCATTCCTTTAAGTGAAGATCTCGTAAAGCTGGGAGAAGCAGGCTTTGCTGTAATGATATTAGACTTGGGCATCTTACTATTTCCAATTCGGTGAGAAGAGGAAGTTCCAATTTGTCACTTCCACGAGACAAATTCGTAGATTGTTCATCAAATTCTACATACCGTAGTTTCTCGCAATCATCAATCATCAGCGATTTTAGAGTCAAGGGAATTTGACCAATAGAGACCATAGATTTGCAATACATAACAATGACTTCTTCAAGATGAGAAATTGAGGAAGACGAATTCGTAGATAGTTTATCAAATTCTACATACCGTAGTTTCTTGCAATTATAAATCCTCAGCGATTTTAGAGTCAAGGGAAGATGAGAAGTTGAGGAAGACGAATTCTTCAATTCCAAGGATTGTAGCTGCTCGACTTCATTGATTTCCAACCTCCTAAGAGAAGGCAAATGAGGAGGTATATCACCTTGTAATGACGGACAATCATAAATAGAAAGCATTTCAAGGTTGGGGAATGCCTTGTTGTCAACTAGTGGGTGCACCCACTTCTCCCAGGATCTCATACAAGAAAATTCTAGAGTCTTCAAAGATGGAAAAGGAATTGGGCATTTCCCATAAAATTCAAGACCAACCTCCTTAATACCATCCATACAGACAATCTTAAAACTCTTCAATGAGCGTAGTTGCCCCAATGGAGGCAAGCATACACAATTATCACAACTATGCACATATATGTCCACCATGTTAATGAAAGAGGAATCTCCCAACCAACTTGGGAATGTCGAGCCCATGTAATCCCCCAACTCACACTCTTTGATGGAAGTGTGAGGCCGCAACTTCTCAACCACATCTTGCATTTTATTGCCATTGACCACTTCTCTCCATCTACGCCTCCATATCAATTCCAACCGATCAAGATGCTCTTTCTTACACAACTGGGCTTCCTCTGCGTCCTTAACCTCAACCTCTGTCACATTTAATAGCGCGAACATGATTCTTAATCTTCCACGGAGCTGATTCAACTTCCCCAACTCCCTTAACCTGGACCCACCTAGTATATCCAGAGTCTGCAAGTTTGTTAATTTCCCGATGCCAACGCAATTGTTTCCAGCGTACAGGTGACGAAGTTTCCCAAGCGATTCAATACATAGAACCTTCTCAAGTCCACCACATCCTTTCAAACAAAGTGTTTGGAGATTCCAAAGATCGTTGATTGAAAGTGGCAACTCTTTTATTCTTCTAAGTTTGAGACTAAGGTAGCGCAAGTGCTTTAAATCACCGATACATTCTGGCAAAGCTTCAATTTCATCCGAATATAGAAATAGAGTGCGTATGTAACGGATTTTGTTGAAAAAATCAGAATAGTCAATTTTCAAAGCATAATTCCATAGAAAAGTACGCAACTGAGAAGCCATAATTTGATTTCCCAAGGTTTGAACATGCTTGGTGATAAACAAATGACGAGTTCTTCTGAAATCCGTCTGTGTATCCGTGCCATCCATTACGTTGCATAGGTTGCCTGCAGCAGATTGAGCCACATCATGTATGAGGTCATGCATGATAAACATTCCTCGTGCAGATGGACTTTTTTCAAATAATGACCTTGATACCAAATCATTGAAGTACTCATGGCCAATATCTTCCATTCTTTCATTTGTTGTGGTGTCTGGTAGGAAGCCCTGAGCCATCCACAGTTGGATAATCTCCATCTCCTCAAATTCGTAATCTTTAGGAAATATGGAACAATAAGCAAATAAACACTTCAGAAGAGATGACAGATGATGATAACTCAACCATAGAACAGGCAAAATTTCACACGTCTTGCTCCAAATATTGCTATCTATTATCCTTTGGCGCCGACTCTTCTCCACTGTCTTTCGTAGCAGACCACCAAGAGCTTTTGCAGCCAAAGGCAATCCATCGCATTTGCGGATAATATCATCCCGCCTCTCAGCAAGGTCTGAATGCATAGTATTAACATGCTGCTGAAATATACTCCAACAATACTCACCAGACAAATGTTCTAAATGGATGGGGTTGGGATTATTCATCACCCTTGCAGTGACCTCCTTTCTGGTTGTGACGATGACTCTGCTTCCTCGTGCTGCACCAAGAAAAGGTATTTGTAGCTGGTTCCACTCCTCATATTTCTCACTCCAAATATCATCAAGAACAATTAAGAATTTATTGTCCTTTAGCACTTGCTGCAATTTCTCTTGTGCTTGATTCAGGTTGCTACAATCAAAATTGCCTTGGGTGGCCGAGTTGATGATATCATTTGTTATCCGTTTCACATCAAACGCATCTGATACGCACACCCATGCCTTAAGAGCAAAGTGAGTCTTCACCTCCTTATCATTGTAGACATACTGCGCAAGAGTTGTCTTCCCAATGCCTCCCATTCCAACGATAGGGATCACAACATAATTCTCATAACTTAGTTTATCTTCCAACAATTGACAGATGATATCTTTTTTCGTATCATTCCTCCCGTAAACATGATGCTTGTCGCTTATCAAAGAAGAGGTCTCTCGCATCTTTCGATGCTGCTCCTCTACTGCGTTTGTTGGTTGCCTCAAGTTGTTGGTTAGGAGACCCAAAGTCGAAACCCGGGTTTGAATCTTGTTCAAGGCATTACTTATCTCATCAATCCTTGATGAAAAGTCTGGACCAGAGTATCCAATTTGCCGGGAAGTACTACATCCACACGCCAAAACACTGCCAACCTGATTGATGCAAATGATGCGTTTAGACAATGCTGAAATTCTACAGCTAATTTATTCAAGAAAAAAGCAAATAAACTATTAAAATTAAACTTGTATAAAAATATGATAGAAATCCTTCTTTCTCTATGCATAAACAAATTATTTACTCTCTCCATGTTTATTTTTTAATTTATTTACTTTTCTATTTCACGAAAACCAAAAATCTATACTAATATTTAATAGCAAGAACTTTTGCAAACAATATACATTGGCACGTGTCCCACTCTTTTGTTACACTTTCATTTTTATTTTTTCATTTAATTTTTTGTTTTTTCATTTCCGGAATCTTATTTCACTTAAAAGTCACTTGTATTTTGTGATTCTCCTCTTCACCTACATGAAGTTAGTTTCTTTCAAAAATATAATTAATTGTTCACTTACGTCTCTTGGTTCTATCAATTTCTTATATAATAGAAGATAGTTGAGTCAAATATTATAAACATCTCTTCATATATCTTTTTACCTAGAAAAATGAAAAATTGAAAAATATTAAACAGGATCATTAATTTTACTACTAATCTTTCATTATTTTGCTTATATCTTTGAATTGATAGGCATATTTGGCTTAATTCCAATTAAAGAGCAATATCAATATACAATTGAACAACATGTCATATTCTCTCCGTATCTAATAAGTGTTACACTCACTAAACGCGGCTATATTTTAATAAGTGTTGCACTCACTAAATGCGGTCATATTTTAATAAGTGTTACACTTCTTTTTTTAACAAAAAATTACATTTTTAATGTTATATATCTATCTTTTCATGGTCTCGATCTAAACCCATTTCTACTTTTTTTTTTTAGAAAAAATACACTTTAATAATCCTAACTTTGCCAAATTTACTTTAAATAATCTCAACTATCGATTATTCTGCAATAAATTCTAGCTTTCACCTGCGTTTTCTTTCTGCAATCCCAAACTAGTCAAAAAAAGTCAACTACCCTTTATTCTACTTTAATAATCCTAACTTTGCCAAATTTACTTTAAATAATCTCAACTATCGATTATTCTGCAATAAATTCTAGCTTTCACCTGCGTTTTCTTTCTGCAATCCCAAACTAGTCAAAAAAAGTCAACTACCCTTTATTCTAGGTTCCTAACACGTGTCAACACGTTAGTGGTTCAAAAATAAAAAAAAAGTACAAGGAAAAAAAAAGAAATTTTTTTTTTAAAAATCTAAACATCCAGCCACGTAGCCACCAATGGTGGCCTTTCTCCCCTGCCAACCCCCTAACCACCTCCTCCCAGCCTCCCGCTGCCGGATTTTGCCACCAAACCAACTCTAACACCTAAAATCGGTCCCCCCACCTCAACCACACCTTGGAAACCACCACCGCCCTTCTAACGCCGCCACGATACCATTCCCATCCCCAACCCAATCTCCAAAGGGGGTGTTTGGTATTTGGGAATTGAGGGTGGGATTGGGAGTTTAAATCCCAATTCAAGAAAAAAGTTTTGTTTGTTTGATGGAAATGGGAATAAAATAGGTTTGGGAATGGAAATATTTAGGGGAGAATTCCCACCATTTTATTACCCAAGGAGGGTAGGTAATAAATGGATGGGAATGGGAATAAGTTTAAAATGACATTTTTGTCATTAATGAAAACAATGAAAGGAAATATTAGTAAGGGTAAATTTGTAAATTGTTATTTATTCCCTATATATTCCAACTCACTATCCAAACAAGGTATTGGTAAATTTTCATGAATTCCCAACAATTAATTCCCAATCCCATTCCCACCTTTTAATCCCCGAACTCCCATTCCCACATTCCAAACGCCCCGAAAATAGACCCCCTCCCTTCCTACACCACTGAAATCGGCGTCCCCTCCCTTCCCACACCACCGAAACCGGCCTCCCTCCCTTCCCCCAACCCAGAAACTGACTCCCTCCCTTCCCCCACCTTCAAACTAGGTCCCAACGGCTACGGTTTCGGGGCTAGCTAGGTTGCGGGATAGGGGAAGGGAGGGGTCGGGAAATGGTGGTGGGCGCTGGAAATCTGAGTTGGAAATCCGGCTGGTGAGGCCGTGGCCACCGGCTGTGGTCATGGTAGGCTTGGTGTTTTGAATATTTATTTTTTTAAATCTTTTTTTCTTAAACAAGCGACACGTGGCAATTATGATTTTTTTTTGAAAAATTTACCTTCTCTCCAGGTTACTGGTAATCGGGATTGAAGAAAGAAAACACAGGTAAAAGTTGATATTATTGTAGAATAATCAAAAGTTAGGATTATCTAAATTAAATTGGGCAAATTTGGGATTATTAAAGTGTATTTTTTTTTTTTAATTACTCCAGTATTAAATTTTTCCTCTCACATTTATTATTGCTTTTCAATAAACTATTAAGTATTAACCCCATTATATTTCTTTTACAATTTTTAATACTCCAACTACCCTCACTTATCTCTTATTTTTATAAAGTCAATTAAATTACTTAAAGCTATGTATCGTTCGAAGTCTAACAAGACCCATATACTCCGTAACTAAGTATTATCAAGTCCATGTTTAGTTCACCCTTTTTTTTTTTTTTTTTTTTTTTTTTTTTTTTTTTTACGAAAACAGGCGAGCTTAAGAAAACATAGTTCATCTTATTTTTTTTTTCATTAAAAATAAATTCAGATGAGATCATCGTATTATATGCGATTTTCATCGCTAAATATCTTTAATTTTGAAAGTTATCAATTAATAAGATACACACTATTACAAATATAACAAGACTCCCATTTAATACAATTTTTATTTAGATTATCGTTCACATAAAATCAAAGTTTGATTTAATGAGACAATCAGATTAGATCAGCAACTAAAAAGTGAATTAAAGAAGCTCTAAATCACAAAATGAAGTCAAAGTGGGTTAACACAGTCAAAACATGTGAGCTCGGTAAAAGAAATGGATTAAGTTTAATTTATGCACATTTAGCACTACTATATCCTACTCAGCTACTCTACATGTATCTACAAAAGTGTACGAGTAACACTTTGAATTAAAGAGCAAATATATACTTTAGAAAATGCAGTGGATTAGTAGATAGAAATAGAAGTACAAACCATATTATGGAAGGAAGTTGGAAGAAATCCACGAGCATTCTTCTTGAAATGATGAACATCAAAATCATCATTATTACCCTGATTCATTTTCAGGGCTTGATATGCAAAGTCATCCAAAAGATCCTCCAAATCAAAAGCCAAGTCTTGAAGATTCTCCAGCCACAACCTGATTGCAGCTCCGTGTTGCTCATCACATTGTTTCTGTTCAGCATCGCTCAAAACCCTTTCAATCATCTCCAGCTCATTCTTCCAATCTTCGATATTGATTTTATTTTTAGAATTCTTTCCTTTGTTGACCAGCTTCATGAACTGCTTCACTCCTTCAGAGACCAGTTTATCCAACACTTCTTTAAACATTGCTGAAACTACCATCTCTACAACTTCCATACTTGCTTTTCTTTTTTTTTTTTTTCCTTTCTTTTTGAAATAAAGTTGAAAACTCTTCAGAAAAATTTATGAATGAAATGAAAGGTTCTGTAAGTTTTGGGGGTTTAGAGTGGAAACAAGTGGAGAACTGAATTATTAGTATTGTGGAAAGAAGTGGATAATTTGGTACTCACATTTAAAGTGAAATGTTACATGTGGGTACTCACAACAGTCACAATGGTCAATTATTGTGGAAAGAACTGTATTTTTGTTGAATTGGTTTCTCCTTCATATTTTTTTGGGTGGGGGAGGTGAAATGAAGTTGAAAACTGCAGAGAGTTGGATAACAGAGAACGAGTGATTATGACTAAAATGAATGGCTCTCTTAATTAGTTTTGGGTGTTAATAAAGTGGAAAGAAGTGGAGAAATATCATATATGAGAGATGGAAATTAAATTCAGATAACAAGTGATTGTGAATGAAATGAATGGTTCTCTTAGTTTTGGGGGTTTATAATGTGGACACAAGTGGAGAAATATTGTAAATGAGAGTTGGAAATTCAGATAACAAGTGATTGTGAATTTGTAAATGACATGAATGGTTCTCCTACTTTGGGTTTTTAAGGGTGAAAGATGGGAAGAAATGAATTATTGACGTAAAATATTGGTACCCATTATTCTTTTTTAAGTGTCCTATTAGGAGGTTTGGCACTATTAAGTAATTAGGGTAAATAACGATATTAAAGAGTTAAACATTTTTTTTCACGAGAAGATAAAAGGCCTTCCTAGCTCAATTCGACTCCAAGGCAAGACATTATTTAGTACAAGAGAGGCAGTTATTTAATTTCCTTTGATGTCTAGTTTAGTTTCCTGCGCTTCTCTAATTAGTATCTTTGTCACTTGTTCTTTATAAGGATTAATATAAACATGTAAAAAGGACAGCGGAAATACAAAGCCTAATTCCAGGAATCAACTTAAATTCCACTAGTGTCATACAATAATATATAGAGTATATAACCTAATCCTGTGCTTCAACCTGCAACTTATTACCGAGTACTATTACTCTCTATCTTTCATTTCACAATGATCATTGGAGGTTTCTCCATTACATTGTACTATTGTAGTACGTAGTAACCAAGTAAATCCTTTATCTTTCCCATTCCTTTGATTATTAAGTTATTGGCTAATTATTATATATATAGTGTCATGTCAACTGATATCAATTCGAAATTAATTATTGAAAAATCCGATGTGTGTTGTTGATTCTTTGTTAATTACTTTATATTTAGCTTAGCTTTAAATTTGGTTGGTACAATTTTAGTATTACGGAAGATTATTATTATGTTTTTTATATGTGAAAATCACTTACAATAGATGAGTAGCATCTAGGGATAGCAATTCAATCTGAATTCAATTCGAATCCGATTCGAAGAAAAAAAAAATCTGATCCGAATCCGTTTAAAATTAGTTCCAATCCAAATCCGAATAGGAGGCGGATCGGACTTGGACCTTATGCAAAGTCCGACCGAGTCCGAGAGTATAAGCATATGGTTTACAACTTGGGACAATTACTTGTTTGTTTTGTAACAAAATTTTGTTATGTAACTTAGTGTATAATTTAAATATGTTATGTTTATACTTCACTCATCAGTATGATAATACAAGCAATTATAATATATCACACATTACCCAAAAAAAAAAAGCGGATCATTTCAAGGTTCGAATAAATGGACCGGATTCGGATCCGAAATAAATTACAAGTTGGATCGGACTCAGATTCGGATTTTTCGGATTCGAATTCGAGTCCAGGGTTCGTTTACTAAACGAATCAGATTTAGATTTAGCCGCATCCGATCCATTGCCATTTCTACTAGCATCCACTAGCATGACTACATACATAAATTTCACTCATTTTCTAAGAAGTAAACTCCATAGGAACTAAAAATTAAAAGAAATAAACTTTTCTACGTTCAACCAAATGATCACTACATCTAGCTAGTTTCACTTTCCTCAACTTAAAAAAAATAATATTTACTTTTGAAACGCTCTCTCCATGTTAAGATAAAAAATTATTATGCAAAGTGGGTCGATTTTTTTTTATTTTTTATTTTGTTTTTTTTATATTTGTTTTATCTTGTTTTTGTGAGTTACAGAGAGGAATTGTGGGGATCATAACAACTAAAATGAAAATATGACAATTTAATTGATATTGACCTAAAAACCAATGTGACAATCTTAAAGAGATGGAAAGTACGTAGTATAATTTTTAATTTACGCTAAGAAAGAAAGATGAGGACGGATTATGGGTGGGTGGATAAAATTAATATTAAAGCTTGACTGTTGACTTGCCCAAACCACGGGATCTTGATGACTCTTGACAATTCTACTCAAATAATAGTGTTACACCCCACTATCAACCATCAAAGAACGACTCGATTATCGTTTACTTCCTAATTTACAAAATATAGCCTCAATTGAATTTCTAATATCAAAGTAAACATACATAAAAAAAAAATATAAAATGGCTATAGGAGAAGCTTTTCTTTCAGCATTTTTGCAAGTATTGTTTGAGAAGATGTTGTCACCAGGAGTTACAATGTTTATGAAGTTAATAAGGGAGGCAAAATACAACGAAAAACCATAAAGCAATGGGAGAAGCAACTTAGAATGATAGAGGCGGTACTAAGCGATGCCGGGCAGAAGCAACTTGATAGTAGTAATAATGGTGTAAAGTCATGGATGCAGGATCTTCGAGACTTGGCTTATGATTTAGAAGATGTGTTGGATGCATTTGCTACACAAGCTCAAATTTATGAGTTGATGATGATCAAGGAAGATGTGCACGGCCGTGTTTTGAAGAATAACGACCCCAATTTTGCTAGTTCACCTAACAATAATATGGTTTGTTAAGTCCTCCACTTTGTACAATATTGCTTATTTTGGTAGTATATTACTACTATAATCTTTTCATTCGCAATAATCTTCCTATATATATTTGTTGTTTTAACTAGTCTTCCACAGAATTTTTCATTTTTTTCAATACACATGACGTTGATATTTTTTTTTTTCTTTACTTCACCCTACTAATTTCTTAATATGCAAGTCCAAACCTAATAAGAAGATTTTTATTTGTGAATTGAACAAGTTATAAAAGTATATACAAATAACAAACCACGAAGATTATCATGGTTTAACGTAAAAAAGTATACATTAGTCCCAATTGTTTGGTTAGGAATTTAGACCGATTTTACCAGTATGGTTCTATCTAAACATAATTTGTCTATTATTCCAAAACCAAAAAAAAAAAAAAAAAAAAAAAATTAAATAAAATAAAATAATTTGTCTAATTGTATCTTAAATCATCAAATTTCAAGGTGTTAGATACATACCCATTATAGGTAGCCGATATTGGGTAGGAGTAGGTAGGTGGGGTTGTCGTAGGGGTATAGAAATTTTAATTAAGTGGATCAAGATATAGAGGAAGTGAAGAACGATAAATTTATATCCACTTGAACGAGTATAGATATTAGATACATACCTAATAGGTCAATACGTAGTGGGTAGATGGTGGGATGAAAATTTTACGTGGGTGTGACTTGTATCAAGTCATCTCCCTGTGTTTTGTAATTGTTATGTGCACTTGGCTAAATTTTGCCGCAGCTTGCATATCTGATTTTGTCGGGAATTCCGAAGTATTCATACTTATGTCTTGTTCAAACCAATCTTTTGGGTTATTTTTTTTCCGCCAAATGACTATCTCATTGAATTGGTTTCTATATATTGCATACCACCTGTTCGATGAAATGTCGCAATTAGATTAACTAGCGTACATGATATTCTTAGTTGTACTCGTATTACACAGTATGCAACATTAAGCAGTTATTTTCTTGCATTCACCTGTAATTCTTCTTACAGAATTTTCTTATGAGCATATTGTATACAAATTTAAGCAATATTATGGATTCTTTGGAATGTTAAGGATGTTGAGTGTTGATATACAATAAAATCATAGAATGATTTAGGATAATTTCATGTAGAATTTCTGATTTTTTTTTTTTTTTTAATTTTTAAATACAATATCTTACTTTACATAATTTGTCTTGCAGAAAAACTCTTTTTACCATAAGCAATGTACATAGCCAGCAACTATATAGCAGTAGCTAACATGTTTCGACTGATTAGTGACTAATAATTGTCGAGTATCAAATTGACAGTTAATTCTTTCGTAATGAGTTTATTATCGAGTATTCAGTATTATATAATGTATGCAAATTCATTAACTATCTCAAATTTTACAGTAATGCATGAGTTTTACTAATGTTCAAGTTTCCTTGCTGCACTATAATTGCCTTCAGTAACTAATAGCAATATCTTCTGACAGGTGCAAAGCATTGTTGTTAGTGGATCAAAAGCTGTGGAGCATCTGTCATTCATGTTTAACTCGGGCCAAGATTTAACAGCGAAGATAGAAGAGATTAATCAGCAGTTGAAAGAAATTTTAAGCCAGACTAAGGGCTTAGGACTTTCTGTACATGTGATGCAGCAACAAGTTATACCTCCAAGAGCAGAACGAGAATGGAAAAGCTGGCAGGAATCAACTTCTTTGTTATGTGAGCCATTTGTTTATGGACGGGAAGGTGACAGAAAAGAGACCATAAGTCGACTACTGAATGATGAGAACTCAATGACTGGTAATAACTATGTTGTAATTCCTATTGTTGGAATAGGAGGCATTGGTAAGACGACTCTTGCTCAGCTCATCTACAATGATGAGGAAGTGGAAGTGTTTTCTTTAAAGGCATGGGTTTATGTATCTCAAGTGTTTGATGCTAAAAGAATAACAACATCAATTATTAATTCAATCACTGGTGAAAGCAACACTTTTTGTGATCTTGATCAAGCTCAAGTGCAATTGAAGAAAGTGCTAACAGGTAGACGATTCTTGATCGTACTTGATGACATATGGAGTGAGAAGTATAGTGATTGGGATAGGTTACGGACCCCATTAAGAGCAGGAGCGAAGGGAAGTAGAGTTGTGGCTACTACAAGAAGCCAGAAAGTTGCCAGGATCATGAATCCACAGCTGAATAGTATGATTTTGTTGGAGGGTCTCTCAGATGATGATGTTGGCGTATAATTGTACAAAATGTATTTGATGATGCTGGTATTTCTTTAAGCCCAAATTTTAGCTTAATGAGAGATGATATGACAAGAAAGTGCAGAGGCCTACCCATGGTAGCGAAAGCTCTTGGAGGCCTTTTGAGGTCTAAAGTAGAGGATGAGTGGCAAGAGACGCTTGATTATGATACTTTGAGGATGAGCGAGAGCAGGGTATTAGAGGTATTGGAGTTGAGTTTTCATGACCTTCCATCGCATCTGAAACGGTGTTATTCTTATTGCTCCATTTTTCCATATGATCATGTATTTACAGGGAAGGATGTCATCTTATTGTGGATGGCTGAAGGATTTTTACCCGAAAATGGAGGAAACAAGCAAATGGAAGACATAGGCCATGATTATTTTCATGATCTAGTATCAAGATCATTTTTTGAACCGAGCATAAAGGGATCAGAATATTTCAAAATGCACAGCCTACAAAGTGATTTGGCTCGAGAGGTTGCAGGTAAATTATGCTTAGCAATAAAGGATTGTTCAGTTAATAAAGATTGGCCGAAGGCCTCTTGTAGAGCTCGACATATATCCTTCACTGAACTAGATGAGCCTGACAGATGCGACGGTATGTTTTCCTTGAAGGTCAGCCACTTTCGTACTTTTGCTCATTTTGACAAGCATATATTTTCTGGTTCTTCAAATCGAGTACTTGATCTTATAGGAATGTTTCAATGCATGAGGGTGCTACTGCTACCTCACATGGGATTTACAATATTTCCAGAATCCATAGGCGATCTTAAGCTCTTACGGTTTCTCGATCTCTCATACAATAATATTGAAGAATTGCCTGATTCCTTGAGCAACCTTGTTAATCTCCAAACTTCGTTGTTGAAAGGTTGTGACAAACTTCAAAAGCTGTTGGAAAATATGAGATGCTTAATCAACCTTCGCCATGTGGATATTGATGGCACCTCTGTTCATGAGATGCCATTGGGGATTGGGAATCTGACGAACCTGCAAACATTGAACAATTTTATCATAGGAGCAAATGCACCCATTATAAGAGATTTGAAGAATTTGAATCATCTTAGGGGAAAGCTAACTATAACTGGCTTAGAAAATGTGTTAAGCTCCAATGACGCAAGAGAAGCAAGGCTGCATCAGAAATCAGGTCTTCATGAGCTAGAGATGGTATGGGATTGGGGAAACTTTTAACGGGGTTGATGACAACACTAGAATAGATGTGCTTGATCAGTTGGAGCCTCACAAATCTATCAAAGTGTTAACTTTGCGGAACTACAACGGTATGGCGTTCCCAAGATGGTTGGGAGACCCTTCTTTTACTAAGATGGTTACTATAAAGCTAGTAGGTTGTGAGAGATGTGAATCTTTACCACCACTAGGAAAGCTGCCATCATTGAAGGAGCTTGAGGTTCAAGAAATGCGTGGTCTTAAAGTCGTAGGTTATGATTTTCATGGTGTTGGTTGTTCAAATCCATTTCCGACATTAAGAACTCTGAGGTTTAAGTCTATGACTTCTTGGGAGAGTTGGTTACAGTCATCAGCTGATAACAGGGGATTCTCTTGCCTTCAAGAGCTTTCAATCAAGGATTGTTCATCTCTACAGCAATCTTTACCTTCATGTCTCCCTTTGCTACACACACTTGAGATACAACGTTGCAAGCAACTGTATGCCTCTCTTCCAAGCCTCCCTCGACTCCAAAAGTTGATAATAGATGATTGTTCATCCCTTGTCATGGTTGATCAGCTATCTTTGACCCTTCGGCAATTAGTTATCTCTAGTTGCCAGAAACTACAGTTCGTGGAATTCAGGGATTCATATTCTTCTTATGATGAAAAACTTACTCTGGAGGTTCTGGAGGTTGTCAATTGCCAATCTCTGTTAACGTTGTTGAGTAAAGATCGCCTCAAAACCCTTGAAACTCCTAGTTCTTTTCCCACTTTATGATTAACAGAAAGAGGAAATATTTCTTCTTCTGATCTTTCACTATTTGAAGAAGGTTTGAGTCCATCAAAACTTGCTAACCTCACCAAGTTAACAATAAGTGAATGTCCCTATCTCATCTCATTTCCGGAAGATCTTGTTCTCCCTGGCCTACGAAATCTTCTGATATCAGTTTGTCGAAACCTAGAGTCCCTCCCAAATCAAATGCATAACTTCACTTCCCTCCAAGACCTGTTTCTTACAAACTGTCCAAAAATCCACTACTTTCCAAAAGGCGGTCTACCCATGAACTTGCTTTCACTCTACATGGATGGACTCAACATTGAACAACCAATGCAAGAATGGGGAGTTGCACAACCTTAATTCTCTTGAAAAGCTCTCAATATCCGATATTGGGTGCTCTTCAAATTCAATATACTCCTTCCCAAATGAGGATATTCGTCTGCCCTGATCATTGACCGGATTAGCCATCAGTGGTTTCATTAATATGAAATCAGTATCTTGCTTAAGTATTCTAAATCTCACTTCCCTCTATGTTAGGGGATGTCCAAAACTTGAATGTTTTGTTGATAATTGTCTTCCTCCTGAACTTAAAGAATTATGGGTTGTTCAGTGTCCTGTGCTGAAACGTCGAATGGAAAAGGATCCTCTTCGTCACACTCTATCGTGCATTACTCATCTCCGTTTTTGCTAGTCTTTTGCAGTCCCTGTAATGATAAGGTGATACCATGTGAATATGTGACTATCATACATCCCAACTATGCACTTTTTTTCAATGTGTTTTTCAGTGTCTTTCCTACTTTGTCTATTATTCAAGTCTTTTATTCTCTTTATTTTCTTGATTTCAGAGTTGGCGATTTCTGATGTGAATTTGGCCTCACGTAGCTCGCCTTCCTACGGGTTCCCTTGCCGATCTAGTGATCCTAGAAAACGTCCGAAAAAACCAACCTAGAATGAACAGAATGTAAATTCTAGTCTATGAAACAATATATGACGTCCGGCCTCCGGACTCCAGTCTTTCTTCAGTTTTCCTGCAGTGAAAGCATCTGTGAGGTAAAACTGCTTACTTGTGTAGTTAATATCTACTATATTTTGGGCTTAATTGATTTGATACCGAGTGACGTATTTCCTAAAAAAAGCATCAGAGGAAGAAATACTAGAAGAGTATGGGTATCTAAAAAGTATATATAATCTAGTGTGATATCTCAATTGATACTATATGATTCCTTCAGAAATGATCATTTTGGCATCTGCAGTACTTTTTTATGCAGTATGTATACTATTCTTCAAGCTTAAAGTTGCTTAGAAACATATACTAGCATAAAATTAGGTGGTGGAATTTAAACTTTCGGTTATAGTATTTGCCAAATAAAAGGATTGGAGCCAACTACCACTCAACCCCATTCCACTTCGAATCTTGAATATCAAGATGCCTATAAAAATGTGTATATATAGCACAATAATCAAATAAACACTAAAGTATGATTTAATGTTGATAATATTGGGTAATATTGTGGAAAAATAAATCCCCCACCATCATGTTTAAAGGCTAAAAGTAGTCAAATTTTACCTTTACGTACTACTTTTATGAACCACTGTACTAATTAGAAGCATTAATCTCAATATAATCATCCTTCCTAATGACAAGTAAAAAGAAACTCCTATAACTGTGTGGATGGATTCGCAAACAACGTATCTCTTAACCAGTACAATGTCTAAGTCTGAGGCATGCATTTGTCTGAAATTTCGAAAAAAAATCTTGAATTGAAAAGTGAAACCCTAGCCTCCTTGCTCTCTCTCTCTCTTCTCTATCCTAAACTCTAGCCTCCATCGTTAATTTTGAAGGGGCTTCCATCGGTTTTCGCTAGTGGAAAGCCCCAATCTTTATTTCTTTTACGTTTTTTTTTTTTAGGTTATAATCATGAAATTATATTAGCAATAATATGTGCCTAAAGAAGAAAACCTGGCTGTTATTGAAATGCCAACAGTCGAAAATAGATGAAAGGCATATTCATTACGATGAAAAGCAGATCATTAAATTTTCGGTGAATAAAAGTTATAGGCGCATCTAGATGACTTGTCCCCAAATCAAAAGTGAAAATTAACAAAATGAGTAGGTATTATGCAGATGAAGAAATCAATACACAACAATTCAAGGCAATAATAAACCTCCATTCATGTTTCCCCAAACCAAGCTATAGTCAGAATCCAAAAATCATGATTTCAAGGTCGTTTAATGATGTCACGCAAGCCATCATCATCATCAGCAGCAAAACAGCTCATCAGATGTCAGATCTTCATTGATGAACCCCAGTGTCCTTGGATGTTGGCATTGAACTGAGAATGTGAGACATTATAATAGCCTAAGTTTAAAATTCATGATAGAAACAACTACAAGATAAATTAATAACCATAAATCAGGTAGTCTAACCTTATAGAGTTTATGTCTGATGATAGCTATAATCAAAGTGTAGATCTTGAGAATGCTTTGTACTATCTGATTTCAGTAGAAAACCGTGCTTCCATCATTTGCAAAAGTTTGGCCTTCACTTCACGTTCTTGTTCACAGGAACTTCACTATATATTGATTTCCTGAGGAGAAAAAAATACTGTGTTGTAATTGCCTAAAAGTAGAGAACTTTCTTGTTTGCAGGGTTGCAGCCCTTTTGTGTAACGTAAGAAAGATACTGAAAATTTTATTGTCTTTACCAGCAGCCAGATGATTAAAGACAGTTGAATTTCATTGAAGGACAATCACAAGCATAAACCACCTTCAAACTGAGGAGAAGAACAAAAGCATTGGTTTCAGAAGTCAAAGATTAAACAAGCATTACTCAACACATTCCTGTTAAATTAAAGGGAAGCTTTGGTAGATGTTATTACCATGGTTTAGCTTCTCAATAGCTTCTTGAGTCTTGACACTATGACAGTTGACAGTTGAAGAGTATGTACCTGATACCACAATATTGCACTTTTTTTGTATTAAATATTTTCTGCAAGTTATTAAAATGCCATAAAGATTTTTCCATTTCTGAAATTTAACTGTATCTCATGAAAGTTATGTATAGATCTTTATGCTACTTTGTTGAACATGTACTCCCTCCTACAACAAATCCAACATCATAATAATGCATCTCAACTTTTTTTTTTAACTCTCCAATTGTACTTAAAATATATACTCAGTGGTGAACCCACTGAACCCATACTTGATCCGGAAAATTCTGATTAGTTTTCTTTGCTATAAAGTTTAGATAAATAAAATACCTAGTATAATGTAATGAAATGTGTTGAACTTCTAACGCGGCCCAGCGGTTGAAGTCCATTAGTTTTACTTGAAGGTCGCGGGTTCGACTCCGCCTGACATTGTGTTGTCATTTTTCTTTTTATTTATTTTGTGCTTTTACCTTCTTTTTTTTTTTTTTTTTTTCGCTTTTACATATTGGCTTATTGCGTGAGTTACTAGTCATCCATAAGTTTTTTTTGCCTTTCTCTTTCTTGTGTTTTTTTTGGCTTTTACTTTGTTTATCGTATAGATCCATTGCATATAATATTTGTATACATACCCCCCCCCACATAAAAAATAAAAAAATAAAAAAAAATAAAAAAAAAAAGTCAAAATATATTCTATCTATGATTGATTAGATTAGACTCAAAAGAGACAAAAATTGCAAATTATAAAATGCATAAATTAGGCTGAGATGGTTGAATTCATACTGACCAGTTGATCTTTTGCTTTACTGAAGTTCCATTGATTATTAGGATTGTTATATCAACAAGCTGTCAGAACTCAGAAGTGAGATATATGAAAATGTAAGTTGATGTAAAAATGAAAATTTTTCCATCATATAAAACTTACTTGAAGGGGCAGAGCTTGGTTGACTTCGAGACAGAGGCAGGGAGAATCTTCCATTCCCTGCCTCTAGACAGGGGCAGAGCTAATGGACTCTAGTGTATCAACACAGCTGCCTACATTTTCAAGTCTAAGCTCATAAAGGGAAGTAAGAAGGTGCAATCCCCACTCTTTTATTGGTTTGTCTATCTTGGTTCCTCTGATAGTAAGCAAATTCTTTTTGATACTGCATAGTAGTTGATTCTCAAAATCTGGTCAAGTAACTTCTAGTAAATTACAGGTTATATTCGGTTCCATAATCAAAATGCTTATTTTAATTCAAATAGTCCTTATTAGACACATTGACTCTCAAAATCTGGTCAAGTAACTTGAATAAATTACAGGTTTTGGGTCAACTAGTCGAATACTCGGATATGGATTAGCTTCCCATGTCCATTGTTAAGTAAATGTTGTAAGATCTCATCTTAGCTAGTTGCAAAGTTGAACTTGTTTCATCAGTTGCAACTTGTAAGAAAATAATACAAATTATATATAAAAAAAAAATATATATTACATCCTTGTTTTTTTTAAATAGCAACTGTTTGACTTTTATATTATTTTCACGTCTCACTTTGGCTGGCTTTAAGTGATTTATAGGTTCGAAAAAAAAAAAAAAAGTCAACTGAGATCTTATCAGACTGCTCTAAATTTATATTTTCATAACAACTAATTTTTATACATTACTCAGTAAAAAAAAATAAAGGAAGTATTATCTGGCAATTAGGGAGAAAAGTAAATCAGTAAGAAGGTAGCAGCACAAACCATATTGTCTAGAATCCCATGGTGAGAGTGATCTTCCTCCACCTGTTTCGACTGGTATCGTTGGGCTTCGATTGCGAAATGATCCAAGATATCCTCCATGTCGTAAGCTAAGGATCAATTATTAGTATGTGCTTTTCCTCCTTTCTTCTTCATTTTTCAAACACCTTTTTAAACTTTTACACTAATAAAGGTCCCCTTGTTGAGTGAGCTAGCCCCAGTTACTCAATTTGAGTAACAAATGTTGTTACTCAAATGGCACAATTGTAAATAATTGCATCTTCCTCCTTCCTCCTTCCTCCTTCTTCCTTCCTCCTTACAGCCACCACAGCCACCACCATCATTACAGCCCTCTCGCTCGATCTTCTTTCCCCCGTCGACCTCCTCTTCTTCGTCCTTTCTCAAGCCCACAACGCCACGGCGGAACAAAACTCAAGCTTCCACATCTCCACCTACCTCCCCCGATCTCCACCCACATCTGAAAAAACGAGTGATGGTTGTGGGTCGAGTTCAGCGGCGAAGAAGTGATGATATGGTGGTGGCTGTGGTGGTTGAGGTAGAAGAGGAGTGAGGAGAGACAAAGTTGAATGCTAGATATGAAAAGACAAGAGTACCCCTACTCCTTGTTGAGTAAACCTTAAATAATAAATTAACTCTTACACTTTGATAAAACAACTTTTATAATTACTAACAAAGGAATCCCTATAATAAATTATCGAGAGTTTGAGACTGATACGCTAGAGCACTCTCAATGGCGAAGGGAATATAAATTTCCCTCACCCGACTCACTCTCTCTCTCTCTTTGATATTTGCATAGTACACCAGGGTGTATCATGCTCACGGTTCACCCGGTAGAAAATAAAGGCTTTCTTTAAATGAGTTTTTTTTTTTTTTTTTTTTTAAATGATTCCTCCTTTATTTAAGGGATTTGTTAGTTATTCTCCATATTAATAGTTTTCAAAAATAGATTTGATATTTTTGGAGAGACATAATTACAATTTCGAAATACAGAGAGAATTTCCAGAGAGAGAAAATTTTTAGCAGAGAAAATTAATGGCGGGGTGTAAGAAATTCGACATGATTTCATTAAAGATTTGTTGATAATAAGTATGAGAATGAAGATTTGGTTAATAATGAAGATGAATTTGAGGATTTCACATCAAATATGAAGGTAATTTTTTTTTTATAGGCTTTTTCGTATTTAAATTTTATAATTATAATTACGATATTGATGCTAATGATAATGTTCTCTTAAATTATTAAATTTCATAATTTGTGGATTATTTTGTAATCAAAGGAAATTGGTGTTTTTTTTTTTTTTTTTTGGTATTATTTTCAAAGGTTGAAGATGATGTTCTTCTGATTATGATGAATGTTCCTTTATCACGCATTCAATTTGTTAATTGTAATGGAATATGTTCTTTAAGTACGATTAATATGTTCTTTGAATCTAAACTATATGTTCTTTACATTACAAATTATGTTCTTTAACGTATAATGTTCTTTGTGTTTCAATAATATGAACTATGTTCTTTTTACCTGAATAATATGTTCTTCTATGTTCATGTTCGTTTATTTTAACTCTTATGTTCTTTGGATATTGAGGATATAGCACATATTATTTTAAAATTAGTTTTTACGTCATTTTTAATTATTAAACTATTCATCTTCAATATTATTTATTAAATTTGTATTTTTTTTATGTTAATAACATTAAATAAGTGTGTACATTTTTTTTTCAGGATCACGATGGTTGATGGAGATATTCTTTTTGGACATCATACATTGATGATTGGTTTTCAGATCCAAAGAACATCTATAACATTTATATTATGTAATAAGCACTACTTAAATTAAAATATTTAAATTTAACAATAATGATCCAAACATTTAAAGAACATTTTCACAATAAGCAATGGATATTATGTGACAATAAATGTACATTACAATTACAGTTAGAGAACATGGACATTTAAAATATTTTATCAAAAGATCTAATAAAGATCATAATATTAATAGTGGACATATGGAAGAAAAATAGTGCTAATAATTAATTGTACTTTACATACAAAAATAAAGTACATCATATTTTCTAATAAAAAACATTATAAAAAAATATATAAAGAACATTACAAGAATTACACATGACCATTATTATTATAACGAATATTATAATAATTACATAAAAAAAAAGTTGTTGAAAGAATATGATTGATTTTAGTAGAGATTTTTTAAATTTAAGATATCAAATAAAATATTGGTAACTGAAATTTTAAATATGAAAATGAAATTTTGAATCTGAATTTTGAATTTGAATTTTAAAAATAATCTTGAAATATTTTGAAGAAAATAATTTTGGAAGGAGAAAAATTTCTAGAATCTTAATTTTTTTGAAAAGATTGTATCAATTAATGTGGGATTTGGTTGATTCCTTTTCGAAATTTAATGAATATACCTAAAAAACTCGCGTTCTTTGTTTCACATCTACAAGTTCTTTCAGCAGAATGTTCTTTGTTACAAAACAGTATGTTCTTGTGTTTTTTTAATTTGTTTGTTGCCTACGTTTTATTTTTTGGGCAGCGTCGTTTTTGCCCGGATGTACCATGCTCATGGTACACCCGGGTGTACAGATCAACGATTACTTGACACATAATATTGCTTATCAGCTGAGTATATAGAGTAATGTATAGTTTAAGACGTTAAACTGCATTACTTACATATAATGAAGGCATTATTTGAGTCATTAAGTAACTTTAGGCAAAGGCGCGAAGCTGTCAAAGAAAAGAAAATGTAGGCAGCATGGGCTAAGGTGCAGAAGCTGATACGATGCAGACAAGATTTCCCATTTTCATTGTTAACTTTAATAATTGTATTTGTATGGAAAATGGCTACCAGCAACTAGAGATTTCATGATCAAAAGGTCTGTATTTGAAGTAAACATATCATCAATTTAATGTATTTGATTTTAATGCAGCTACGAAAATAATAAATGGATGGATTTATTCAGATGGTCCAAGAGGAAGAAAAGAGGTTTGGTTTTTATGAATTCAATACAAATAACATCAACACCAAAGAGGAGTACAAATAATCTAACCTAGCAAGTAACAATCCCGATGCCTTGAATCAACTTTTACTAAGATCAAAAACCATGTTTGCTACTATAAGAGATACAAAAATGAGTCTACAAGCTGATGCACTTGCATCATCTACGGTTAGTTCATACCACAGTAATTGAATAACAATCAATCCCGCCTTTCAAATACTCAATAAAAGAGCAGAAAATTGGCACAGCAAAAGCTGAAAGATGCTTCAGAGGAAATTATAGTGGTACTGATCCATAGAACACTACTTCAGCTGGGCCTGTCATGTATATACGGTTATCTTCCTCCCTCCATTCAATCTCCAATGGCCCTCCAGGAAGGTCAACAGTGCAATTCTAACCCCCCAAATAAAATAAATAAATAAATATTCAATAAAAGTAGCAATATCAAACAGTATAGGCTATGAAGAAACAGAAAGCAATTCAGAGAGGAATATGAACGTTGTTTGGCTATCAGGGAGCATAAAAAAAACATGAAATACAAGAAGTACTCACCCTCTCAGATCGATCCTCGAGCACCGCAGCAACAACAACTGCACAAGCTCCTGTTCCACAGGCTAAAGTAGCTCCTGCACAAGTGCACACCAAGTAATTGGAGTCAACAAGGATGAGGAACAGCCAAACTAATATAAGTAGATGTATATAAATATACGAAGTAATTTAGAAGAAGGG